TAAACGCTTGCGGAAAGTTCTAGTTGTTCATCCACTTCTGGACTGCAGTCCTGTTCCAGAACCTGAGTGTTCCGTGTGAATCCGTTTTACAGATCTGACTCATTTGTATGCAGACTGCTTGTTCCTTGCCACTCAGGCAGATGCACTCCGACTTCGAAGGAAGCTCCCAATTAGTCGACTTTTACGACATGCTTTTTGGGTAGGCAGTATGTCTATTCTTGTTTCCCCTATAATAGGGCCCCGGAACCCACACGGGAGGACGAGTCCAATTGTTTTCACCCCTCGGCTAGTGGAATTAAAGGGAGATAACACAGTAATATTCTACTAACTACTATTTTGTTATGAGTTACCTGCAAGATATTTTTGTTTTGTGTGTAAGCCTTACACGTGTTGGATGGAGCCTATTCTATAATAGGCAAAACGACAAATTCTTGGAAAGTCAAGGTGGCCGACAAGTTGTTGATCACACTACCAATCGCAAAACAATACATTTTTGTGACAAGCATTATGTGCCCCTGACATTATATATCATCTCGATAAGGGACGCAAACAACATCCTATATTCATAATTTTGTTATCCCTTTGAGGGATGCAATTTTTCGTTCTTTGAAGCCCCACCCTGGCTCTTGCAAGGGGCCGCAATATAGCCCGACCATAAATATGGCTTAATGGCCGAACGTGGTTTCCGGGACCTCTCCACGGGTGATCCTCATCCGCATTGTGGCACTTTGTGTCATTGGGTGTTTATCGCTTGTGTGATGTCCTGGTGGGGTGAAAGAAGATAGCTAGACAAGGGATGCAATTTTTCGTTACATTAAAGACCCACCCCGGCTGTAGTCGGGGGCCCTAATATACCCTAACAGTTGAACAGGGTTTCTGGGCCCTCTTCCCGGGTGATCCTTATCCGCATTGTGGCGCTTTGTGTCACCGGGTGTTTATGCTTGGCGGATGTCCTGGTGGGGTTGAATCTTATTCATCCATTCAGCATTTGACCGCTGCGACACTAGCTTGAGACTTTAACTGTTACCCCCTGTTTCTATCACCATCTGTTTTCTCCATTTACCTGCGTATGTATATTTCACTCTCTTTCTGTATCACCATATCTTTTTTTCCCCCTCCCACTTATTGTGCGTTCTTTTCCACTAATCGCTGAACTTCTTTTCTATTTATGTCATCTGTTACTCCCATTTTCTCATCATTCTTTTTCCCCCTATTGATATCCACAAAGGTCTCCATGGCAAAGAAGTCATTTGCCTTGTGCTCTGAAGGTGTTGGGTTTGTTTCACCTGCACAGTTCAGCTCAGAAATTGTTATGGAGATCAGTTGGTGACAAAGCTACTGAGTTTGTGCTTTCTTCAACAGGCGGCTAGCTATTCTGTGGAGACAGACTGAGCCATGCGGGATACAATTTGTGGCAATGAAGTCGATCTTCTTTAACTTTAAACACTTCCTCTCTACACTCTTTAAGCTCTAACTCCTTTACCCTTTCGGTATCAGATAGTTTCACAGCATGTTCTCAATAAATCACAGTGAAAGCCCACAGGTTCTCAATAAACCACTATGAAAGCCCAGAGGTTCTCAATTTACCACTATGAAAGCCCACAGGTTATCAATAAACACCTATGAAAGCCCACAGGCTCTCAATAAATCACCATGAAAGACCACAGGCTCTTAATAAACCACTATGAAAGCCCATAGGTTCTCAATAAATCACTATGAAAGCCCACGGGCTCCCAAGATATCACTATGAAAGCCCACAGGTTCTCAATAAACCACTATGAAAGCCCACAGATTCTCAATAAACCACTATGAAAGCCCATAGGTTCTCAATACACTATGAAAGCCCATAGGTTCTCAATAAATCACTATGAAAGCCCAAAGGTTCTCAGTTAACTACAATGAAAGCCTATAGGTTCTTAAAAAATTATAAAAGCCCACAGATTCTCAATAAATCACTATGAAAGCCCACAGGCTCTCAATAAACCACTATGAAAGCCCATAGGTTCTAAAAAACCACTATGAAAGCCCACAGATTCTCAATAAATCACTATGAAAGCCCACAGATACTCAATAAATCACTATGAAAGCCCACAGATAATAAATCACTATGAAAGCCCACAGATTCTCAATAAATCACTATGAAAGTCCAGATACTCAATAAATCACTATGAAAGCCCACAGGCTCTCAATAAATCACTATGAAAGCCCACAGATTCTCAATAAACCACCATAAAAGCCTATAGGTTCTCAATAAACCACTATGAAAGCCCATAGGTTTTCAGTAAACCACTATGAAAGCCCATAGATTCTCAATAAACCACTATGAAATCCCACAGGCTCTCAATAAACCACTATGAAAGCCCACAGCTTCTCAATAAACCACTATGAAAGCTCATAGGATCTCAATAAACCACTAAGAAAACTCAGAGGTTCTCAATAAACCACTATAAAAGACTCAGTTTCAAGGGAATACAGAATTCTAAAAACAAAATATCAAAATAAAAAACACACTCAGAACACAATTATGTGAAAAAAGATGGGGAGGATACGGAGTGAGTTATACATGACAAGACAATCTTGTATGAGCTGGTTTAAATCCCAGGCTTCATTGGGGGGGGGGGGGGGGGGAGGAAGGGGGGGGGGGGGAATAAGGGCTCAAGACCAAGAAGAAATATGGATGCCTCCATATCACTGGCGACTCATTCCAAAACATTTATGCTCCAGAGCAACTATCACTCTTTGCAAGGCTTTCATTTTTGGGTGGCATTAAAATCACAAGAAAGTTATATTTAACACACTTGATGAGAAATCTTGCTAAATATAACACAAAATATGACTTGAAAGCTCAACGGCGTGAAAGGAAAAGACGCACACAAACACAACTGAACCTTTCGACCAAAGTCTTTATCAACGGAGTACTAAATAAAGCACAAGCTGTAACTAGAAAACTCAGTGGACAAGACAAGATTCTGTGTTATATTTAGCATTTCTTGCAGTGAGTTCGACTGCAGTCACACCCTATTTACATCATCATTTTTTATAAGAAATCACCATTTCGATCTGAAGATTAATTTGGGAAAAGACAGCTTTATTAAATTTGACATCTATTCTGTCATCTACCATGCCCCCCCCCCCACCTTTTTTTAAAGCAAAGTAAAGCCTTTTCCACACCTTTCAGGCATATTGGGTGTATAGGGCTAGACCTATAATTTATAGACCAAAAGGCACTTAGTGGGTGATATGGTCAGCATCACGCCAGCTGTCTTTACTTCCTAGGACTGTACCTGGTACTCTCTCAGGCGGGGATGACCTGGGAGCCAAAGTCATTTTGGAAAAAAGTCCGGTCCCTGTCAGGAACTAAACCTATGACCTTCCAATCCGCAGGTAAGTTCCCCCTTTTTTGCTAGAGCTAAACTGGCTGGCCCCATGTAAGGAGAAGTAAAATTTTTTGTTCGTAAGTAATAAAGGTAGCCTTACCATTGACACTGTTCTTCTTCTTCTTCTTCTCTCAATCCTTCTGTCAGAAAACTTATATCAGGAGGCCAATAGCCTTTACGAAAGCTATTGTGCAATCCATATCTTCTCATGTACCATACAGTTTTGTCTTCATGGGAGACTGATACTGTTTTGGGATGTGAAGTGTTAGACATTCATGTAAGGTAGTCATTTCCCTTCTTTATAATCTTTCCATCCTAGACAATTCCTAGAAACTTGTCTCATGCCCAGTTTTGAGGATGGATTGAATCAGAGCCGTACCTTTTAAAAAAAAAGAAATCCTGTTGAGAACTGAAACAGACCACCATCTAAGCAGGCAAGAACGCTAACTACTCTGCCACTACAAATCCACCAAATGTAAAACAAGACACAAAAATTCCTTTCTACTTTTATTTTTAAATGACCAAAATTCAATATCAATATTCAGTGTTTCAAAACGCTCTTCCTTTAAAAAACAAAATGTAAAAAAAAAAAAAAAAACAGAAGATCAGCTTTACAAAACGCAGAAGAAATATGCATGATCAATAACAGTGCACACATGCATACTCATGATAACAACCATACAAATAATAACTCTGTACTGTTAGTGTCTGAATTAATAGGAAAATAAGTGACATGGGCAAAAACACTGGTTAGGTAGTTCTACAATAGTAATTGTGTTAGGACCGCATATTCCAGGCCAAGATATATGAATTAGGTCTCCTGATCCAACCTTAATGAAGACAAAGCTGTATACTACATGGAAGAATCAACTGCACAATATCTTTAATCAAGGCTACCGGCCTCATACATTTTCTGACAGAAAGATCGAAAAAGCCACCTTTCTTGCACAAGACAATTTCACATCTCCCTGAGGGGCAAGGAACCAACACTCTGCATATAAATAAGCCAGATTTGTAAAACGGGTGTTCTTGAACAAAACTAAAGTCCAGAACTGGATGAGAAAAACTTTCAACTGGAGTGTACAGCCAGCAAATGCAAAGAAGAAGAAAAAATATATTTGTTCTCATACTTAAATTGTCATGGCAATGTTTTCTCTGTGGCTTACAGCTTTGTGAAATAATTTCCCAATTTAATCATCGACTTAATAAGATTTGATTCCAAAGTTTCGGTTTATAAAAAGATTGTTTTCACTGTATTCTGTAAGCAGTATAAGAGTCAAACCGAGGAACAGATTGGGGTCTTGCCATATAATATTCCCAAAGACAGCCGTGTTGCACTGCAGTCAACTTCTAATGTGAAGATGGCCTTCAGAAAACAAAAACAGCAGAGGTGTCGAGTTTTGTCAACTGAAGCCATGGTTTACGTAAATTTGAAATAGAAGAACATGGCATGTGGAGGAACAGAGGGAGAAGATGAAGAAGACATATAATTGATTTAAAGTTTATAGGTAACAATTTCAAATGTCAAAATTCCATTTGTCAAAAAGTGATGTATTTTCACTTTTATATTATCAGCAATGATGTAAATTATTTCAAAAAAGAAAAAAGCAACTAGAAAATCAACTACCAGTCATCATCATCACTATCAGTGTCCCCATCATCTCTAATATTCTTCGCTTTGGTTGGCTTGCCAAAAATCTTGGTAGATTTAGTTTTCTGAGACCCAACCACTGGAGGCTCCAAAAGGTCACCCTGGTAACTGATCATATCACTACGTCCAAGTCTCCAAGCCAACATTTCTGTTGGGAAATCATCAGTCCCTCCCAAGTCATCAAATCCAATAATGTAATCAACTGTTTTGCCATCTTTGGCGAGACACAGAGTGGGGATAATCTTAATCCTCAAACGCTCGACCAAGAACTTACACTTCTCCACATTTATCTTCACAAACTTGGTCTCCAAATGCTTCTGGGCCAGCTCTGTGAGATGCTTATCCAAAATTTTGCATCGGAATGTAGTGTCCCTGTAGAAGTGACAAACAACCTTTTTGCTTCTCTTGCAGGTTTCAAAGAATTCTTTCTCATCAGAAATCTCTGTGTACTCTCCATGACCTGCAGCCAGCCATTCTTGTTTCTGCTGCTGAGCCTTCTTCATTGCTTCCAAGCGGCGCTGGCGAAGTTTTTCAAGGTCGTCATCGTCCATCTTTTCAAGACGTTCAATCTCGGCATCAACTTGACTCTCAATGAGTTGAGTTGCCTGTAGCAACTGGTTTTCAAGCTGTTGTGCCATAGTGTTGACTTAGCTTTATTTGGTGACTATGTTCGTGCACTGAGTTGAGATTCTCGTTGTGGATCTGAAGGAGAAGACTGACACACTAATGGATAATTTGAAGTAAGATTGACAGTGGCTGTGTAATCCAATCAATCAAAAACTGCAGTCTGAACTAGCAAAAAAAGAAAGAAAAACAAAAATTGTATAACATTTTAAACACAACTTGTTCATCAAAGGACTGTTTCTCCCTTTACATAAGAAACTGACTGCATATATATTTTGCAGAGTATATAGTCAGATGCATATAACAGAATTAATCACGATGCTGTAAATAATCCTTTTAAATTAAATAAAAAATACATATCACATTCTGAGGTAATAGAGTTTTACTACGACAAAATGCAAGCTCACATGTGAATGCCTTATTCCCATGAATCCAAGCACATGTCTATTTGTAGTTTTTATATTTGATTACAAACAAGCTAATGGAAACTGACTTCTCTATTTTCTAATTAATTATTTCCACGTGCACTTAGCATCTTTGATGGTAATGCACACATTTATGATTTTTCAAGGTAGTTGTTTCCATTTCCATCCAGCCTAAAATGAGTACTAGGAAACGTCCTGGGCAGTAAAGGTGGCCAGCATGATGCTGACCACATCATCTATCAAATGCAGATTGGACCACACACATAAAAATGAGCCTAACATCATCATGTGCCAATGAAAAGAAAGTCCTTTACCAACTTATTTCCTAAGACATCTACTGACATAAATTGTATAAACATATGAGAGTAAAGAAGATGATGATATTTTAGAAGTGCTGTTATCTGCCAATGACCAGTATTAATAGTAAAAAAAAAGAAAAGTCTCCAGAATCATGTCAATCAAATCAATATCTTCTTCTTCTTCTTTTCTTTACTCCTGGAATGCCTCACGGCGTCAGGGCAGGAAGAGATCTCTTGAACTGGCAATACTGTCGCTCTGTATAAAGTACTTTTCAGTCTCTCTGATATTTCTGAGGTCCAATTCTGCATGGTCAACCTCTGGGTCTGTTACAGTTGTATCTGTATAACATTGCTTTCTGCTGTGCCCTGTCTGATGCCAATCTTGTTACATTTAATTTTTTTTTATCTACCTATAAAGTTCAGTATTGGTTCTGTGCTGACTCTCCTCCTGATATCATCATTCCCAAGTCGATCTTTCCTCGTTACATCTAGCATAGTACGTAAACATTTCATTTCTGTCATGACTATTTACCTTCTGTCTTCTGAAGACAGTGTCCATGTTTGACATTGACAGTGTATGAGAAATTCACTATTAAGATAAGCTTAGAAAAGACAGATACAACGATGAAAGAAAGACAACCATAAACCTTATCAATAAAAGTAAATGACACAGACATAAAACAAGTGATTTTAAATACAGTGCAGAACTGATAAGGAGAACTCACCAGAGACTCAAGAAATGGTTCTTCTTAACATAAATTCCTCTTATCCAGATAAGAATTCAAGCAAGAAAAATTGCCAGGACAGAAAGAGTTAATAATTTATAACACATAAATTGTATAAACATCTAACAGCAAAGAAGAAGATGATATTAAGGAATTGTTGTTTACCGATGACCAGTATAAACTGCAGGAACTGACCATCCTCAGGTTTACCCCCCCCCCCCCCCCCCCCATTTGTTTAAACACTAATTAAAAGTGCTGAATTTGGGAGAGGGCAGGGCAGGAGGGGGGTTAGACAACTTTACATAAGTCTGATAAATAAAAAATAAAAAATGGGCAAGACGGACACACACACAAAAAAAAAAGACTACTCTATCCACAAGTCCCTAGACTAGTTTAGTGCAGTGGTGGTCCAGTCATATTGTCATTTTCAGGCTATCCTCCTAATAACGGCCACATATTACAGCGGCAAAAAAACACACCCCGACAGGGTCTCATTAGGTAGTGTGTTGTAAACATGAAAAAAACTTGAATTTGAAAATAAGGAGGAATGAAAAAAAAGGGAAAATTACGAAATCGATTACTTAACAATAATTAAGGCCTTAATATCTGAAAATAGTGGCAAAGAAATTGCAAATAGTGCCTGAAAATCTGCTCTTTGTGGCTGTGGGGCAATTAAAACTCTGCTAAATATGATCAGTGCCGCATTGGTAATGCAGTTTTCACCGCCGAGAGCATCTCCCACACCCTGCGTAGTGCCGCAGATAGGGGGCTAAACTAGATGGCTGTGACTCACGAGCAAATAAACTGGAGGAAGTTGCAAGAGATGCAGTAGCTGCTGCTCATGAGTCCCAGCCATCTAGTTTATCCCCCATCCGCGCCGTGCATAGCAGCGCGAGAGATTCGCTTGGCGTTGAGTTTAATAGGAAGAACACTATCGCTAACATGCGTCAGGGCCCCTGGTCTCCCTGCCATTTTGCTATTATCGTGTGTATTGTTGCATTTCTCGAAATGTCAACGGGCAGTAATCCTAGTTTTGCAGCTATGTCTCCCTGCCATTTTGCTATTATCGTGTGTATTGTTGCATTTCTCGAAATTGTCAACGGGCAGTAATCCTAGTTTTGCAGCTATGTCTTCTTCGGAGGAAGTCGCAATTTATATGTGATTGAGGCCCTGTCAGGGTGTGTTTTTGGCCGTCATATATGTGGCCGTTATTCGGAGGATAGCCCATATTCTTATTGTATTCAACTGGAAAATAATTACAAGATTCCCCTTCCTGGAGTAAAATGGTTACAGGGAACTTTAGGGTTTCTGTGGGCAAATTCATTCTAAGTAAACAACAGCTGGATGGCACCGACAGGGCTATCTCAATGCATAGCAGTGAACTGAACTCAAGTGTGTGCTCTGGCAACTGCTGCTGGACTCAAGCCTTGAGTCACCGCCAGAACATGACCATGTTAGTTTACTTTGGCGATTATTTATCATATAAAGATACAGACACTTCGATATTATCTGCTTACATAATTCTGTTAGTCTGTTTGCAATACAAATTGAAACGACAAGATGAACAAATAACTAATACCTTTGGAAATCACAAATTCAATTCTAACGTCTCATGTAATTTCAATTGCGAATCCCGTGTGACTTTCGTTTCACTTTAATATTTTGATACATTTTGAAAGTAACTTCCCGTCGTTTCCATGGTGATCTAGTATAAACAAGGTTTTCTTCACCTTTTTCTTCTCTTCTATCATTTACTTCAGCGAGGTGTTAAGGAAAGAGGGGTGTGTGAGGGGGGGGGGGGGGGGGGTGTAAGGATCTTTTGTAAGCTTTTTCCAATGCATTGTACAAGTTAGTGTTCATTTATGCTAGGTTGCTCCTGATGTCTCCCCATCTCTTGCGTGGTCTTCCCCTTGCTCTATGTTCACATTTCTTCAGCGTGGCTCTCTGTGGCAGTTGGTACCAGGGCATTCTCGTCAGGTGACCAAACCATCTCACTTGGTGTTCTTTAATAAATTGTATGACTGGTCTCAGCTCCAGCCTTCTTCTAATATCTTAATGTTAAATTTTATATCTTCTTTTACAGCACTGCTAAGACACCTTATCTCTGTTGTTACGACCGCTCATTAGTTGTTGTGAGATCCATGTTTGGTGCTGGTAGCACAAGGTCGGCTAAAAAATACCGCTCTTTTGGGATTTTCGTTAGTTGACAGAAGTATCTTTCTATGCGTCAGAAGCGGTATTAACTGTCCCATAACCTAATTTGCTTTCGCACATCGAATGTTGATTTCTCTGTCCATTCTCCCATCTGAGGTGAAAAATGACTTTAGATATTTAAATTCGCTCTGGTGTTTTATTTCTGTGTTTTTTACTTTATTTGATATGATTTCTTCTTGTCTGCCTATTACAATTTCCTCCGTCTTAGCAATGATTTTACCCATATTATATCAACACGGTTTAAAATTGATATTCTTTCAAGCGCTCTTGTATTATAATTAACACCATCCTGTTATGATACTATCTGTCACATCGGCTTCAGTCTAGTCTTAAATCCCGTTATATTCTGCGCAGTTCTTCCGATATCACGAATGAAGCATTTAATCACATTCAGCACCTTCGAGCTCTCCTAGCAACGTACGTTTTCGGATTTTTCTTTGGCGTCCTCGTTACCTCAGGCCTTCTGCTTTTCCGATTGCAGTACATAAGTACTGTCTTATATATAAACCATCATAGTTAAAGCTATTAAACTAACATAGAATCTCTGTAATATTCAATAGCCAAAACTATTGAACAAACATGCATATCAAATATAAGATAGACACACACACACGCACGCGCGCGCGCGCACACACACACACACACACACAAAACCAATCTTAGAAGGGTTAAACTGGATATTCAGGACACAGTTGATAAAATTACTACTACTAATACTTCTTCTTCTTCTTCTTTCGTTCGCTTGCAATAGATTATCTATATCTGCAATGTTGTCTCTAGTATGAACTTCACTGTCTTTTGTAATTCACTCAGTGAGCGTAAAGTTTGACTTGTACCGATGTTTCTCTTGTCCAAAAGTTTTGCCTTGATAGGCCTACGTTGTATTTAGGACAGTCTTGGAGTACGTGATCTGTTGTCTCAGGTGCTTGTCCACGTGTGCACATGACTGATTCACCGATTATTATTATAATTATTATAATTCGACTACTAATACTATCCCCATATGGGTTCGGAGTCTCACTGTGGGGAAAGGTGGGGGTGGATGGGTGTGGGGGCAAGAATCGACCCACTGTCTCCCCAAAAAGCATGTCATAAGAGTCGACTTATTGGGGGCTTCTTTCAAAGTCAAAGTGCATCTCTGCCCAAAAGGCGAGGAACCAAAAGTCTGCATACAAATAAGCCAGATCTGTAAAACGGATGTATTCCAACACTCAAGTTCTAGAAGAAGGCTAAAATACAGATATGGACGAACAAAAAGAACCTTCCGCCGGAGTTTACAGCCGATGAACGCGAAAGAGGACGAAGAGAGGGACTGACCTTGAGAATTAGGGGGTATGACGTGTTGGTGTTGTGGGTAGTGGTTTCCCCCCTGACTTCACCCTAGGTCTAGTGAATATCATCTGTTCACGAAAGGATCGTCCTTTGCTGTGTCAGCCTCTTGACCTAGCATAATCTTTTTTTTACCCCAAGACCATTGTAAGTGGCGAAGAGCACGGCCTTCTCTATTAGTTAGAAACGGCGTTGGCGAAGAGCCACATCCTACCCGGGGTATTTCCGGTAACCCCAGGCATAACACAATGGATCTAGAGGAGCAAACTTTGATAATAAACCATGTGCACCATATAGTACTGCCCCCTGTGGTAGGGGAGGTGTCAGAAGGGTGCTGAAAAGTCTTAGGAGTGGAAACAAGTATGCTAAACCCGCTTGCCCCTTCCTGAATACCGGAAACTATTGTGAAGGCACAGGGACTCAGGACGTGACGATCTAGTTGCCCCAACTACCTATGCTTAGAGCCATGGAGAACTGAGCGAAGCCAGCAGGAAACCTGGTGGTGGGGAATGAGCACACTGTGAGCTCTTCCTTAGCTACGTGTTAAAGCGGAAGGCAGAAACACAACTCATTTTTCCTTTAAAACTGGTACAGCGCATTTCTGGCTGCTACCCGGGGATGTAGGTAATCCACAGACACCCCAGCATCACAATGCCATAAATATGAAAGAGTCAAAATTTAAGTATACATACGTGATCGGTCGTCGCTCGTCTATCAAGACCCGCATCAGACAGTGGGAAACCAGGCTGTCATGTGCGAAAAACTGGCTACAGGAAAATTTAGGGAAAATAGGAAAATCAGGCACCTCACGAGGAGGCAGAGTGGGATTGAGAGCAAAGAGAACTCAGATCCACAGCAAAAAAAAAAAAAAAAAAAAAAAAAAAAAAAATACACAGATGCTTAATATTCTGCAGCTGAACATCTGTGGAATAAGAAATAAGAAGAACTTGCCAAATTGCTAAACAACCACAGGGTACACGTGGCTGCCCTACAAGAAACCTTGCATGAAGACTGATTTGCATCTCATTGGATACACTAGTTATGCCTGTTAGTGCAATGATTGCACACGAGCGTCCCATCTTACTACCTAGCTAGAGACCAGAGAAAATTACTAGAAATTAACGTGCTGATCTACATTACATACTGTTTGCTGGCAAGACGTCCCTCATTTAAAATCTTGCCTAATTCTACTGTCTGCACAATACAACTGACAACAAAACCACCATTCACTGCCCATAGCTGAGCAATGTATTCAAATCGATCATCACGATCCGAAGAGAATGGTATAGCTGGGATCTGGTCGACACTCTACACTCAGAGGAAAAGCAAGACGGAATCTAATCAAACTGCTACTGGCAGGAACTATTCGCTGGTTGCTGAAGATGAGGACAGAGCGCTTATGGGAATGTCCAGAGTACCGTGATGTCATTTAGCTCAATACTCAGCTGACAATAAAGCTATTCTGGAAAGGATGCCCAGCTTCGAAAACAGTGATCATAGATGATCTACCGAAGGGTTGCGATATCCATAGTACCGAGCCAAAGGGTTTACAACTCATGGTTTCTGGATACGTAAAAAAAAAAAAAAATCTAATATGTGCAGCTATCATTTTTGCCATGATCCAGTCAAAATCTACTACAATTACTACTACTACTGCTGCTGCTGTTAGTACTGCTACTGCTGCTGCTATAGCTACACAGTTGTTCAATAAAATCATCACCTTCCTGTTGTGCAGTTACAAGTCGTTTAATAAAGTACCAATTTAGCCTGCCTCTCTTATCAACCAATCTGTTACATCTCAGGGGTTCTTCAGGACGTTACTGTTTCCCCATTCCACGCTGCACAATGATTACTCCCCCGCGTGAAGCAGAAGTCAACATTCCTGACAAGGCAACAGGGAGCCCGGATGAACGCTTCTTCACTTTTCTCGATCGCAGGAGGGAATTCAAAATATTCAGCTGGCTATTTTTTTATTCACCCACCAGATGAGCTTTGTAGCAGCCTCAGTTGGATCTTACAATGGCGGCGAAAGATTTATCGAAGACGTTCGAGGACATAGAATCAGAAGATTTCAGCCTGGAGACCAGTGTACCAACAGATATCACGATGTCTCCTGACCATAGCGAGGTAGAACGGCGAAACAAGAAGAGACACATCACGAAACAGCTGATTGAGAGAAAACAGATGATACACGATCTGCAAGTGCTGAAAATTGAAGTTTCACAGAAGAATTTTGCCATTGAAAGCCTTAAAGCCGAGCATATACAGCAGGTAGAAGAGCTGGAAGAGAAACTACATGATGCCGTACATCAGAAACAAATTTTGCAGGTAAACTGAAAAGTAGTGTCACTGTAGTGAGTAATTAGATAAGTTAGTAAACATAACATTGATTCACTCTTTGACACAGTCTCACTACAAATGAAAAAGTCAGAAACTGTTTTTTCTTACCTGCTGTTGTTTCTGCACTAGCTTAACACATGCACATTCACACACACACACAGTCATTAACCATTAACAGACACAGTCATAGACACACACACACAGTCATTAACCATTAACAGACACACAGTCATAGACACACACACACACAAAGATACACATTCACAGACACATTTAATAAAGGGCTATCCTCCAAACTTCGAGCACTAAAGATGGCAGCCGCAAAATATCCTTTCGAGCCACAGCGGCGTAAGCGGTGTGGATTGGGCTAAACTAGATGGCTAGAACCCACAGGCAGCAGCTTCTGCATCTCCTGAAGCTTTGCCATCTAGTTTAACCCCAATCCACACCACGTGGGGGACTCTTGGCGGTGGCGGTAGTCGCCGGAAAACCACAGGAGAACTGCAAATTAAGTCACGTGACTGTGGCTCGAAAGGATATTTTGCGGCCGCCATCTTTAGTGCCTGAAGTTCGGAGGATAGCCTAATAAAGTCCTTTTTGAGTTTTTACTAAGAATAATTGGCTCTCCTCCGAACTTCGTCCCCATTTTATGGCAGCCAAACAAATACCCTAACGGGGCCTTAGTCGTGTGTAAAATGCGGAGTGCCTCCCGAGGAACAAATCGCGGCAGAACTAGGATGGCCACCGAATAGCGGGTCAATATTATTAAGGGCAAACAAATACTCTGACGAAGTCTTAGCGATATGTTAATTGCGGATCTGCTTCTGTGACTATACCGCACCGCCGACAGTATCCACACGTCGTCACTAGTGGTTGGGGAGGGGGGCTAAACTAGATGGCTGGGACTACAAGCAAAAAAATTGGAGGAAGTTGCAGGAGATGCGGTAGCTGCTGCTCGTGAGTCCCAGCCATCTAGTTTAGCCCTCCCCCCCCCAATTGCTACACTGAGTGGTGAGTTTTAAACAGGAGGAACACTATTGCTAACCTGTGTCGGAGCACACGATCTCCCCGCCATGTCGCTACTATCGTGTGTATTGTTGCGTATCTCGAAATTGTCAACGGACAGTAATCCTGGTTTTGTAGCGATGTGTTTGTCGGAGGAAGTCTGCATTTTACACACGACTGAGAGGCCCTGATAGGGTATTTGTTTGGCCCCCATAATATGGGGACAAAGTTTGGAGGAGAGCCGAATAATTGAAATCAAAGAATACTTAATTATAATTCAAGTTTCTATGTAAATTCAAAGTAGGGACCTGTATTTAAAAATTAAATATGTGTTAAAATTAGGGCTGTACCGAATATTCACTTCGTATTCGCTTTGGGGCCGAATAGTGGACCTACTGACTATTCGGTATTTGGCCGTTTAGTTGCGGTCGGGCCGAATATGAATAGTAGTTACCTTACACCCGCTTCTGCATACACGGCCTTAATGCTGACAACATGGAACGATTGGTTTTGTTGAAAGCTGTTGCACCTTTCCTGCATTAACTAAGCTGTCAGTGACAATTTCCAAGTTTAGTTACTTGTTATAATACTTAAGATTCTTAAATTCCTAGTTATTAGTTACCACAGACTGACTGAAGGATGCAAAACATAAAATGTTTTTAAATGTTTACTATTCTGTACGAATACTAACTAGACATGGGAAAGAATATAAACTCCGGTCACATCCATATCGATAATATAAAAATCAAATGAACGGAAAGATATAAGTTCTTGAGTGCAAACTTCAACTGCTCCAACATGCTGAGAGAAGAAATACATTCTAGAATATAATCTAGAAATAAAGTATACTATGCCCTTCAACATCTGCTAAAGTCAAAGTGTCTGTCTCGCAACACCAAGATCAAAATATATAAAACGTTGAGACCAGTCATTTTATATGGCTCTAAAACTTGAAGCAAAAATAAAAGAGATGAGGCCTTGTTACAGGTTTTCAAAAACAGTATTACGACACATCTTTGGACCCATCAAAGATGCTAACAGCGGTGAATGGAGAGTGAGAAGCAAGAACGTAACACATAATCTGTTTAAATCACCATTGATCACTGGCATCATGAGAGCTAACACACTATAATGGCTGGGGCAAATTGAAAGAATATCAGATGACAGAGAAGTAAAAACTGTATACACCTGAGAGAGGAATGGGCGTAGATCACGAGGCAGACAAAAAAAAAAAAGTTCGAGAGATAATGTCCAGCCAGACCTGCAAACAACTGTTGTCTCAAATTGTCAAGAGAAGGCCAGCCAGAGAGATGAATGGAGACGAGTGATATCTGCAGCAGTAAACCTCAAGGGCTCAGAATGCTAAAGAAGCAGATGACTAGTCTGTGCTACTTTATATGAAGTAAAAGTTCAGCGTACATTTGACATTATAAATGTTTTTTTTTTTAAAAATATATATTTTATACACTATACACTATTTGTATTCGGCCTAATAGTTAGTCCCGCTATTCGTATTTGGCCGAATAGTGAAAATCACTATTCGGTACAGCCCTAGTTAAAATAATTGTGCCTAAAAAGTATACAGTCCGCAGAAGTCGGATGTGTTTGCCGAAAGGTGCAAATATCGCAGCAATGCTGTAAACAGACACAACGCAATTACATCTTCGGATGAACGCAGAAGAAGAAGAAGAAGTATACAGTGAACAGTCAGTAATGAACTATCTATCCATTTGTGAGTATAGTTACAACTTTACAAACCATGACTTAACTTGTTCTAGTATTTTGCTTTGTAGTATTGATCCACTATATGGAACTGTTTGTTCTTATACCGTGATATTCAATAACAAGGTTTTAGAGCCAAAAGCAAAGGTCACTTGAGATTTACTTATAATGATAGTGATGTATATGATACTTATATCACAAGCAATGATCAGATATTTTTATTTTGCACTTTATTAAATTGCATGTATTTTTTTTTGTTTTTTATTACTCTCTGAGGCCCAGCAACGCTGTGAGTTTTGTGAAGTTCTGATTTGTCCATACAACATTGTCAGAGCTTTACAGAATTCACGGCTGACAAGGATTTGTTTCATTTTTGTGTCAGGACATGTGGGGGTACAAGGAAATGAAGAGCTGATAGGCTTGCAGGTATGGCTATATGGCTACTGTGAAAGCTGGACAAGCCATGGACCAGGCTGATATACTGAATGCTCTAAAAGATTTAAGACATTTTCGGGAATCAACTGAGAACTGTGAATCTGCAACCATGGTCAGACAGCAAGAACACGTTAAACGGAGTGTCCCCAAACAAGAACACTATGTGGGTAGTCAAAGAAGAAGAATAAACCAACACAGAATTGGTGTCTTTAGTCGTTACACTCTGCAGGATTTACTGAGGAGGGGATCCGAGCACTTATGGACTGAGTGGTTTGACTTGCAATGAGGATAATCTGTTGACTAACTAACTAACACTGTCAGTGTCAATCATGTGTCCCATACATAATGATTCACACACTGCTCCGTATTTGTTTCTGATGAACTACCAATAAAATATTCAGAAAAGGTTACTATAATGTTTTTCTTAGTATAGAAGTCTTTGTTCGTACACATATAGGCGCAAACCGATTCAATACATTGCTAGCATCCTTTACTGACAGTGCATTTTTTCTTTTCTTTTTTTTACCTGGCCATGGATATCCTATATTCCGAACACAAGGACAGGCCCCCCCCCCCCCCCCCAAAAAAAAAAAAAAATTGCCTTTCTGTGAGGCTGAAGCTCTGAAACTGTTTCAGAAAGATGTTTTCTAATTCTGATAATGATAATAAAATATTTAAATTTTTCGGAAAGTGATTCAGACGGTAAATTTACACCAGTGGCAGCTGAGCGGTCAGCTGTTCATTTTTATGAGGTAAACCCAGGAGGACCCATTTCATTTGCAAAGGATGTGACAGTCACCCAAAGTCCATACCCCTGGTGCCACCCCGCACAACTGCCAGACGACCAACTTTCACGACCAGCTCACCCAATGAAATTCAATTCCTCAGCACATTGTCTTCTGCTTCTTTTCTTTTTCTCACTATAGTCTATGCCAAGTGGTGTTGTCATGAAGTTTCTCCCCAACTTTCTGTCACATATACTACCAATCATTCTTGATACATTTACTACCATTCATTCTTGATACATATACTACCAATCATTCTTGATTTATATAATACCAATCATTCTTGATACATATACTACCGATCATTCTTGATACATATACTACCAATCATTCTTGATACATATACTACCAATCATTCTTGATACATATACTACCAATCATTCTTGATACATATACTACCAATCATTCTTGATACATATACTACCAATCATTCTTGATACATATACTACCAATCATTCTTGATACATATACTGCCAGTCATTCTTGATACATATACTACCAATCATTCTTGATACATTTACTACCAATCATTCTTGATACATTTACTACCAGTCATTCTTGATACATATACTACCAATCATTCTTGATACATTTACTACCAATCATTCTTCATACATATACTACTAATCATTCTTGATACATATACTGCCAATCATTCTTGATACATATACTGCCAGTCATTCTTGATTCATATACTGCCAATCATTCTTGATACATTTACTACCAATCATTCTTGATACATTTCCTACCAATCATTCTTGATACATATACTACCAATCATTCTTGATACATTTACTACCAATCACTCTTGATACATTTACTACCAATCATTCTTGATACATATACTACCAATCATTCTTGATACATATACTACCAATCATTCTTGATACATATACTACCAATCATTCTTGATACATATACTACCAATCATTCTTGATACATTTACTACCAATCATTCTTGATACATTTACTACCAATCATTCTTGATACATTTACTACCATTCATTCTTGATACATATACTACCAATCATTCTTGATTTATATAATACCAATCATTCTTGATACATATACTACCAATCATTCTTGATACATATACTACCAATCATTCTTGATACATATACTACCAATCATTCTTGATACATATACTACCAATCACTCTTGATACATTTACTACCAATCATTCTTGATACATTTCCTACCAATCATTCTTGATACATATACTACCAATCATTCTTGATACATTTACTACCAATCACTCTTGATACATTTACTACCAATCATTCTTGATACATATACTACCAATCATTCTTGATACATATACTACCAATCATTCTTGATACATATACTACCAATCATTCTTGATACATATACTACCAATCATTCTTGATACATTTACTACCAATCATTCTTGATACATTTACTACCAATCATTCTTGATACATTTACTACCATTCATTCTTGATACATATACTACCAATCATTCTTGATTTATATAATACCAATCATTCTTGATACATATACTACCAATCATTCTTGATACATATACTACCAATCATTCTTGATACATATACTACCAATCATTCTTGATACATATACTACCAATCATTCTTGATACATATACTACCAATCATTCTTGATACATATATTTCTTTATGACGTGATGCCTGACTCACATCTTCTAAGTATCATTTTACCTTTTTATTTGCTTTTATGCTGTTGACCAAATGGATAGAGCACTGGGCTCTCATGTGAGAGTGATAAAGATTTGTTTTCCAGTTGTTGGGAGAAATAAATATCCTAACCAGCACAGTCCATGGGGACTGCACTAGCCATGCAACACCCTCAGCTCTCAGGCTCAATCCCCCACCCCTTTCTACACTGCCCTAAAAGATGTTCATACAGGCAGGCAGTAATGACAGTTATTTGCTCTTATTTTTCTACAGACACGTCTAGAGTCAGAACTCCAAATCCAGTCTGAAGAGGCTCGAAAAAGACAAGAGCTCTTTAAGCGAGAATTGGAGGCTGTTCGTGCTAGACAGCAGCAACTGGAAGGGGCCAATGAGATCTTGCAAGCAAAAGCTGGGGATGTGCGGAGATCTCTTCGCGATCTCAACATTTCAGAAGAGCAGTACTATCAGTTGCGAGGGCTGTCTGAGGCAGACTTATCACTGAGGGATTATGTTGCAGTAAGATACTACATTTTTATTTTCCTAATTTAATCATGTTGTTTATTTCAAGATCATCTTCATTGCACTTTGGGCATCATTGTCCAGGCGGGCATACCCATAAGTGCTCTGATCTTCCCTGAAGCTTGTTTCTTATAATATTTAGGTTGATGATTACTGTTCTGTATTGACTGATGTAGTGCAGGTAATGACTGATGTAGTGCAGGTATTGACTGATGTAGTGCAGGCTGTTCACACAGGGGCCACACTATTTTGAAATTCGGGATTGTAACAGACTAAAGGGCTTAGCCCCAGCATAAAAAGATCATTATCACAGTACAAATGGCAATGATTTGTGGGCCACTTGCTAGGCCTTCGCGGGCCACCTTCTTGGCCTCCACAGGCCACCTTCTCAGCCTCTATGGACCACCTTCTTGGCCTCCACAGGTCACCTTCCCAGCCTCTATGGACCACCTTCTCAGCCTCTATGGACCACCTTCTTGGCCTCCACAGGGCACCTTCTCAGCCTCTATGGACCACCTTCTCAGCCTGTATGGACCACCTTCTCAGCCTCTATCGACCACCTTCTCAGTCTCTATGGACCACCTTCTCAGCCTCTCTGGACCACCTTCTTGGCCTCCAAATGGTGGACGGGAGAGTGCTAATCATTTGGTAGGTTTAGTTTTTGCTAGGAGTGATGCTAACGGTTATGATAGCGATGTTTTTTTAGGTTAATTTTTATCAAGTCTCTTTGTTCCTCATTGTACCAATATGTATCTTTACATATTTATCATTTGTACTCTATAGGTAAGATTATTTGAAGCGACAAAACCATTGCAGACAGAGATCTCGCAGCTGAGGGTGCAGATGAAAACTGCTGAAGATGAAGTCGCTACATTGTCAAGAGACCTACTTGAGACACAGAAGGCAAGAGATTACATTTTTACTTTGTTGTTTCCCCATGTTGGTTTCAGGCTCCGGCCCCTAACAATCATGTGATAAGGTGACTAATTAGGGATGTATTCTTTGAAGTTGGATTGTGTCTGAGAATTGAGGTATAAAAGTATGCATACAGATAAGCTAGATCTGTAAAACTGATGTGCACACAAAATTCAAGTTCTGGAACAAGGCCAAAGTCCAAAAGGGGATGAACAACCAGAACTTTTCACTGGCTTTTACAGCCGATGAATGTGAAGAAGAAGAAGATTTTGTAGGATAGTTTGTTAACATATATTGAAGATATGTTGTGATGAGGCATTGCACATCTTGCTGGTTAATTAATGCATGACAAGTTAGGTGTGGTCAAGGCCCTTTGGGAGTGGATGAACAGTGCCGAGGCACAAATAGATCGGCACGGCCTGGAGTGAGAAGTGACCAGGAGATCAGGTCGACACTCAGCACTCAGAGGAAAGGCAAGGCGGACATACAGTCAGACTACTACTGGTTACCACTGGAATTAGAAATCTGCTCTGGCTGCTGAAGATGGGTATGGAGCACTTGTGGAAATATCCTGAAGTTTTATGATATTTGTTCTTAACTCAGCTTGGACCAAGTGAATGAAGTGAAGTGAAGATGTTGATGCGTATGCGAGTGAGGGTAAAGGAGGTTAATAAAACACAGAAACTTTTACATAGTTTCATTTTACTGCTCAAGTCATAATTTTCCCGTACAGATCACACTAGGGTTGTGGAGGTGTATCAATGCAAGCACTAGCACACAAAACCCTCCATCTTCCCCTGTCTTCCATTTGTTATTCAAGTGTATAGTAATTTAGTTCTGTCCATTTCTATATGTTCTCATTCCAGGTTCTTCTTTGCCCTCCTTTTCATTGACTATTTCTCCCCCCTCCCTTCCCTCAATGTTCCTTGAAGAATGTATAGTCTTTGCAAACGAATCATGTCTCACCACAGGCATGAACCAAGCTAACGTGCAACGTTTCATCACTGCCAGAAGAGGCTCCTGGTGTCCTGCACATTTCCAATCCAAAAGCCACGGGTTCAAATCTGAGCAAATTCAGCTTAAAAAAAAAGTTTGACTGTGGTTCTCAGGTCGATCCAGCCCTAAATGAGTACCAGGTAAAGTCCTTGGAAGCAAAGGTGGCTAGTGTGCTGTTGACCACATCACCCACTGAGAGCCAAATAGTCTTCTTCTTCTTCTTCTTCTTCTTCTTCTTCTTCTTCTTCTTCTTCTTCTTCTTCTTCTTCTTCTTCTTCTTCTTCTTCTTCTTCTTCTTCTTCTTCTTCTTCTTCTTCTTCTTCTTCTTCTTCTTCTTCACATTCACCCGCTGTAAACTCCATCAGAAAGTTCTGGTTGTTCATCCACCTCTGGACTAAAGACTTGTTCTAGACCTTGAGTGTTGTGTGCACATTCATTTTACAGATCTGATTTTCTTTGTATGCAGACTGTTGGTTCATTGCCTCTCAGGCAGAATCCAGATAGTCTGAAAATATAGGTCTAGCACTATGTACCCATTACACCCAAAGATGTTGAGAAGAGTCCTTTTACTTTTACGGATTATACCAGCCCATCCACAAAATAAATAACACAGTTTGTTCTTTCTTTTTTCTTGTTTGGGTGTTGATTACAGAAATTGGACGAGGAAAGGCAGGAACATGGTGAATTGAGGATTCGATACCAGAAGCTGCACGCTGAGCATGTGGAGATGGCTAGCAAAGTGAAGTCAGAAGACTACAGGGTTGAAAACTATGAGAGAGTTAAAAGGTTTGCTTTTACAAATTAATTTTCCAAAAAAAAAAAAATCTTTAAAGGTTGATAGTTTAAAAAAATTTAGTAGTTTAACATTTATGGCAATAAATACTTGCAGAATCTTTGTTTAGTCCCGATGGGAGTCTTTGTGGCGAAGTGGTCTAGCTGTTTGCTTCACACTCTGAAGGTGTTCCTTTCAAGGCAGTGCCGTTCATTTCAGAAGTGCAATTTTTATTGATATCCCTGGGGATCATTACCGGAGCAACAGAGGTCGTGCTCTGTGCGACGCTCCCGGCAGGCAGCTAGCTGTTCTGTGGAGAGAAACTGAGCCATATGGGATAAAACCCTGTGCAATGAAGTCGATCCTCTCGCCTTTCCCCTTTGCCTTTTACACCCCAATCTTTCAGTTCTAGAGGTTATTCTGGTAAGGAGTGTTGAGCTAAGATAAGTCATCACACCACTCAGGACATTCCCATCAGTTCCCTGTGTGGGTTCTGGGGCCCTCTTATGGGGGAAAAAAAAATAGACCCACTGCCTACCCAAAAGCATGTCGTAAGAGTCGACTAATTGGGAGCTTCCTTTGAAGTCGGAGTGCATCTGCATGAGAGGCAAGGAACCAGCAGTCTGCATACAAATGAGTCATATCTGTAAAACGGATGCACATGCAACACTCAGATTCTGGAACAGGACTGCAGTCCAAAAGTGGATGAACAAGCAGAACTTTCCGCCAGAGTTTACATCAGGTGAACGTGAAGAAGAAGAAGAATTCCCATAAGTCCTCATATTCAGCAGCCAGCGAAGGGTTTCAGTTCTGCTGGAGCTAGCAGCAGTTGGTTATATGTTTATCTTGCTTTTCCTCTGAGTGCAGGGTGTTGACCAGATCCTCTGCTCACTCCTAGCTGTATCATTCTCTCCAGACCATAGTGATCTGTGTGTGCGTCCTCAGTGTTCACATGCTCTGAAAGTGCCTTGACCACATCTAGCTTGTCAAGCAAAAACTCACCACCACTTGGTGCAGAACCAGCCAGTCTGTCTGCCTGTTCTTTTCCAACACTCATGCATGACCCGGAGTAAATACCAAAAGAATACTAACTTCTCCGGTAAGAAAAGGTCATGAAGGTGGAAACTGGTCGGTGTACTGCATAATGCTGTGGCCTAGTATATGTGAAAGTTTAATGCATCACAACCCTTGGCAGTAATAAATGTAATGATCTCATATCATTTTTGTTAAATGGGAGCCGCCATGGTGTTGCATCTAGACCCTGGCTTGGAGGTCGTGTGTTTAAAGCAGATGGTACCGGATTTTTTCCAAACACGTAATTGGCTCCCAGGTGGACCCAGCACTAAATGGGTACAAGGTCAAGTCATGGGAAGTAAATGTGGCTGGCATGATGTATCACCTAATCAAGGGTCGATTGTTCTATATATATATATATATATATGAATCAAGTCTCATATGCCAGTTGTGCCTCTGGTTGTAAAGAGATCATTACTTTTACATAGTTAATTTTGTTAAACAGTGATTGTATATTTTGTGTTCTTTTCTTTATGTCTGTCAAAGTAACTTTTAAGTGATTTAATGTTTACATTCTTAGTAAAATTATCATGTGATAGTGTAAAATCAGGAATTATACACAACTTAAATAAAATAAAAATTATGTTTTCTCTTTTAGTGAACGAGATGGACTTGAGCACGATCAGATGGAATCAACCCGTCAGTTGGTGACCCTTGAAGCTTCATTTTCAAATCTACAGAAAGAACGAGATGATTTAAGTAAAGAGGTACAGATCCAGTTCATTTTGACATGATAACCATTTCTCAGGATGGTTATTTGATTAAACTGACAGTTAAGAATGTTAGAGTGCTTCTTTTGGCTCTTTCTGGACTTTGGTCTTGTTCCAGAACTTGGGTTTTGCACGCACATCTGTTTTACTGATCTAACTTATTTTATGCAGACTGTTGGTTTCTGTCCTCTCAGGCAGATGCACTCTCACTTTGAAGGAAACACCCCTGATTAGTCATATTTTACAACATGCTTGTTGGGGGGCGTCGGCTCTGTGGCTAAGTCGATGCGAACGTTTCATAATGCCGGGGTGCCGGGTTATATCCCAGCTGCGGGCCATGCGCCTTGCGTTGGTTTCGACAGTGTATCAGGGGGCCAACCGTCCAGAAAGCAATGGCAAACTACTGGATGTAAATTTGCCTAGAGAAACACACAACAGTCAGAGGCTGCTGGGGTTGGTTCTGCAACGTCCTGTAAAGGATACGCAACTAACCTATGTTGTTGGGGGGCAGTAGTTTAAACAATGTTTTGGGGGCAGTCCTTGTAGATGACAGGATTCTGGTTTAACCTGCATGACTCTTGGGGAAAGCCTCACCTACAAAGGCTACCAGATAATTTCCAGAATTTTCTGAGAACAGTCTGGGAAGGAAAATCTCAATTGAGAGGCAAGAAACTGACCACCACAGCTCATATATCAGGGCCTAGGAAGCGGCTGTTTAACTAAGTTTACTCAGGGTCCAAAATGTTAAAAATTGGGATCTTTTCGGGCCAGAAGCCCAAAGCCTAGCATAGAACAATAATTAATACAGTACAGTTGGCAACGGGCCACTTGCTAGGCTTCTGAGGGACCAAATTCTTCCTCAGGCTGCCAGTTGAATAACCCAGACCTAGATCATGTGAAGGCCTAATGAAGCATCTAATTTGAAATTGTTTTTTCAGTTGTCTTCATCGAAACAGACAATCGCTCTCTTGAAGCAAGACAAGGAGTATTTGACACGCCAAGTGTCAGATATCAACAACAAACTGGCATATAATGAGGAGAAACTGCAGCAGTTATCAAGGCAGCTTGATGATGCAAAACTTGCCCGAGAAGAAATGTATGAAAAATATGTGGCTTCAAGGTAATTTTGATTTCTTTTTTCTCTGTTAGTTTGTGGAATATTGTTTAGTTATTTTGAATATCATTATTGTGTAACCTTTTCAGGAAGTTGCAGAGCCAACAGCAGCATTGTTTTATACTGTTGGTGATTTTATGTTCAGTAGTCTGCCATTGCTTTCTAAATGGTCAGCACTACATACCTTTGTTGAAATCATGGCAAAGCAGCCTGCTGCCAGATTGTCTGCAGCTGGAATCAAACCATATATTTTAGGATTATAAAGCCATTCAAAACACCTAAACCACAGATGCCATAATGTATTCAAGACGAAGTTAATCCTGTCGATTGAGAAAGTTAGTTTTCTGACTTTGATGGGTTTTTGAAATGGCATTCTTTGGGACAGTGGCAAGTATCTAGGTAACAGCTTTTGTACTGTTGCAACTGTGATGTGGTGCGATGCAAGTTCTCTGCTGATCCATGTAGCTTAGTTTCTACCAGAATGCTAACTGTCTAGACCTGGCATCTCTCTACTACATGTAGAGAGCAAGTCTGTAGCATATGTTCAGTATTCTGGTGTGACTGTCCTCACGGGCAAAGTTAGTTAGTTAGTTAATTGACAAGTTATCCTCATTGCACATCGGAAAAGACCATAAGTGCTCGGATCCCATCTTCAGTATATCCCTCAGCGTGTGGTGACTGGTGATGCCAGTTCTGTGTTAGTTTACTATTCTTCTTTGGCTACCTGTATAGTGTTCATCTTTGGCGACACTTTGACCTGAAGTTCTTGCAGTCTTTGGAGTGTTGCCGATTCAGTGTCGTCTCCTGAATCATCTTCTCGTCCTGCCTTCTTGAGAGCATTGAGAATGTTGGCCTGGTCCATTGCTTTTTATCTGTGCCTACTATGGCCATGCCAGCAAGCCATTCCACTCTCTTATTCCCTCTTACCCCAGAGTGTCCTGAAACAAAAATGAAACTAATTTGTTTCAGACAGGGTTTCCTAACCTGGCAAAGTTCTGAGTCCCTAATCTTGAATTCCTTGTACATACAAGCTTGCATGACCACAAAGTCTGCTGTGTCGAATTCACAGTCAGAATACAGTGGTCTGTTGCTTTCATGTAAGGAGGTTGATTGGCTCTTTGGGATTATGTTCTGTATGGGAATTATTCTAATGCATTCTAATGGCTGTCTTGATCTTGGTTTTTAAAATTTTTTAAAATGCAGTTTGCATTTGACAGCTCTGTATTTCTCCCAGTTTTTGCCAAGTAGTTTGATCTTTTATTTCCCATAATGTCGCAGTGGTCTGGGATCCAATAGAGAACAGTCTTGGTTGGTCAGCTGCCCCATTTGATTCTGCAGAGATCTAAGCTTGTTACTGTTGCAGCTTATGGCTTTATATCGCTTGCAATACTGAGTGAGCATCTGATGGTATAACTACTTTAGATGGAGCTGTATTTACTGAGTAATATGGATACTGCCTCATTCCTTCTTAGTATTCCAATTTATGGGATTGTTTTGAAAAAAAAAAAAACTAAAGATAATAATGGTAGAAGTTGTCATGAGAATCTGTTGTGCGGATGTTTTGGAAAGGCATCTGTTGTTTTGCTAATATGGTTCCCCATGTGATTGTTGGAGCCCCATTATTTTTTTCGGAGAGGGGAGAATTAACACACTGCCTCCCAACAAGCATATTATTAAAGTCGACTAATAAAGGTCTTTCCTTTGAAGTCAGAATGCATCTTACTGAGAAGCGGAGAAACAAAAGTCTGCATTAACAAAAAGCTTGATCTGTAAAACGGATGTGCACACAAAACTCATGGTCCCGAACAAGACCAAAGTCCAGAAGGTGATGAATAATCAGAACTTTCCGCTGGAGTTTACAGCAGGTGAAAGCGAAGAAGAAGAAGAAGAAGAAAAAGAAGACGAAGAAGAAGAAGAAGCTACTATGATAAAATTATACGATATAAGTATAAGTTTAAATCATTAGTGTTGAGTTTTGAGAGAGAGCTAAACACATTTCAGTGAAGAAAAGGGTAAGGAAAAGGTACTAAGACTGGATAGGATGCACATTGAGAATAAATAATAACAATATAATTAGAATGTCTTTTTTGTTGTTGCCTAAACCTACAGGGTCAGAGTAATAGAGGTAGACCAAGCTAAGTTGAGTTGAGTTAAGAATTGACATCACAGCACTCGGGGCATTCCCCATCCTCAGCAGCATGTGCAGAAAAGGCAGACCAAATAACACACAAAGAAAATGAGGTGAACAAAGATGGGCAGGTCATGATTTAAGCTGCACATAATGGTGCAAGCTGGTTGAGGGCCTGAACTCCGTTGAGGGATAAATTGCAGAAGTCCTTTGTGGAGTCTGGGGCTCAATTTTAGGGGGGGGGGGGGGGGGGGGTAGACCCACTCTTTCCCTAACAAGCTTGTTGTAAAAGGGGACTAATTAGGGGCATTTTTTTTTAAAGTAGAGTGCATCTGCCCGAGAGGCAAGGAACCAACCTTCTGCATATAAGTAAGCCAGATCTGTAAAACAGATGTGCAGGCAAAACTAGAGTTCTGGAACAAGACCAAAGTCTAGAAGTGGATGAACAACCAGAACTTTCCACTGGAGTTTACAGCCCGTGAATGCTAAGAAGAATAAGAATTGCAGAAGATGTTGTTCTCATTAAATCTTGTGTAGCAATTATGATGAAATCATGTTTTTTTTAAATAATTGGGTCTTATGAAATCATGTTGTGTAAAGGTTTGCATATGAAATATATACATTCCACATATATGTGTGGGTGTGTGTGTGTGTGTATATATATATATATATATATATATATATATAAACACACACGCACATGAATTTATTATGATGTTTTGACTCTAAATATTTGTATCATCGATTGCAGAGATCAGTATAAGTCTGAATATGAAAATAAACTCAGAGAAGAACTGGAACAGATAAGGGTTAGAACTAATTCAGAGATTGACAGACTGAGAACTTCCACAAGAGAGATGTATGAAAGAGAGAACAGGTTGGTCAGTTTTCATGTATTATTTTAGGAAGTAATCTTAATTTATGTATTTAGGGATCTTTTATTCACCTTTAAAATCAGAGCAACGTAGAACAAGATCAAGAACAATGAACGAATAGTTCAGTATATGGTACATTTTTGCGGTCATTAGTTACTCTGGCTGTCCAAAGTATTTTACAAAATTTGTTTCAAAAACCTCCTTTGCTTCCAGGTTTCAAGATTCTGATGGCTATACTTATTTGAATTTTTGTTTTGCTGATCACAAAATAGTTTTTAATGTTTTTTTTTTCTGTAAAGTAAATTTATGTAATAGCATTATTTTTATCCAAGTGAAAATATCTGTCATATATGTTACTAGCGTTCAGAGAAATTAATAATAAATTGATAAAGATAAAACACTGTGAGTGATATCGACTCAGTAAATAAGGTGCCGTCTTCACAGTGAAGATTGGCTGCAATGGATCTCCAACACTCTCTGTCTGTTGCCTTGCTAGTTCACTCTATCAGACTTCTGTTTGTCTGACTCTTGATGTTGTCCTCCCACTTGTATCATTGTCTACCTCTCGCTGTCTTGCCCTTGACCTTTTCTTACAGTATGATTTAAAAAAATAAAAAAGAGTTTTATATCTTTTAATGCGGCCAGAATATTTCATTTGTCTCTTCTTTATTTCTTTCAATAACTCTCTCTTCATTTGGAGTCCTTCCAGAACCTTTGTATTTTATTGTTTTATTTGGCCATGAAATGCAGCCTATTTTCTGAATATCCTCATTTTCAGAGAGACAGTTCGATTTTCTAGTTGCTTGTTTATTGTCCATGTTTCTGCACCAAACAGCAGGGTTGAGTATACATAACATTTAATGATTCTAATTTTTAATTTGTTTTATCTCTCTGGCTGTCAATTTTTGGATATCAACTATATTATTTTTAGTAAAGTTGACACGGTATATTTTTTTTGCTTTTGTTTTTCAAACATATTTATCTTAGTTTTTCATATATTTGTCTTTGTTTTTTAAACATATTTGTCATTGATTTCATACCTATTGTATGTTGCTAACATGGTATTTTCTAGGAACTTGCGTGAAGCTAGAGATTTAGCTCTGTCGGAAAGGGACAGGTCACAAGAGGCAGAACGAGAAATGAACACTAAATATGAACAGCTGTTGTCTGAGTAAGTTTTTGCACTGTTAATTGTTTTCTTTATTCTGTTATCCGACATGGTGAGTTTAGCTAAATATATAGCAGTAGAAGATACTTCCAGGAATGTTAAATCTTATAACACCAGGCTCTCATGCAGGAGACCTGAGTTTGGATCCTCGGTAAAGTGATGGTTTTTCCTGTTGTGGACAAAAAAATAAACATCTTAACCTGCACAGTTTGTGGCGACTGCACTAGTCATGCGGCCGCAAATCCTTGGGCTCAAGATCCCTGCATCTTGCACCACGATATAATGTGGTACATGCAAGCTATAAGGTCATTTAGATACTTCCAAAGAGGCATGCTGTGTTAATCATGCCTCTACCTGATACTAGACTCATATCTTTGTTGATCAGTTGGCATTGTGTGAGTAATGTTGTCAACATTATGCCAGCCGCCATTATATCCCGGAATATTACCTCAAGACGGGCTCGACCTGTGAGCCAAGGTCACTTTTGATGAAAAAATACTCAATACAGATTCTTACAGATTCTTCTTCTTCGTCTTTGTGATCTGTTTCATATACTCAGGTTATCTATCAGTTGTGTTGCCTCCATGAACTGGCATAGTAGTAAGTCTCCAAGCTTTCCCAGAAGTCTGTCCTGGCCATGTGTTTTCTCACAGGTTTTGCTGTACGGGACAGTTCTGTGTGCAGGATGTGCTCAGGTTTTTGTAGTTTGGTTTGGCAGGGACACTGGGTGCATTGTGCAGCCTTTATTCTGTGTGTTAAGTCTGCAGTGTCCTGCTCTAACATAGCATAGCATAGCCCTTGACCCGTTAGGGTCATGGATGTGTATTGATGGAAGCTCTAACACACAAAACCCGCCATCTTTCTCTGTCTTCCGCTTCATGAATAAGTGTATAATAACTAAATCCTGTCAATTTCTTGATGTTGTCATTCCAGGTTCTTCTTTGCCCTCCTCTTCTTTGACTATCCCCCATGTTCCTTGAAGTACAGTCTTTGCAATTGAATCATCATCTCACCATGTGCCCAAACCAAGCTAGCTTGTGATTTTTCACCACAACCAAGAAAGGCTTCTTATGTCCTGCAAATTTGTATATTTTGTCTCTGACATATTTGTTAGGTTTGTGTTCTAAATAACTAATTTGTAAAATGCGTCTGTAACATTTACAGACTGTTCTGATGCGGTTTGGAACCCAAGTCAATAAAGCATAGACCTACCTACCAACTCATGCCAAAATAATTTATGCACTTGGTAATGATTGGCTGGATTTTTCAGTTTAGGTTTCTATGAGATGAGCTGGCTAGTTGTATGTCATCACTCTTTAGGTGCCTTTTGTGACCAGAGTTGTAGTTGGACACAAATCCAGTCTGGTCATTAACAAAGGTTGAAACAAGATCACAAAAAAAAGCCATCTAGTTAGAATGCAGCTCGACCAAGCTGCATACAAGATTTGTTTACAGCAAAACATCTGGGAGAAAGGATAGGAGAAGATCAAGAAAGAAATGCATAAATGATGTAGCCCAAATCTGCAAAAAAACACAAAAACAAAAAGATGAAACAACTCCTCACCCAAGCCACCCGAGAAACGCAGTACAGATACAGCAAAACAGGACACTGGTCAGCAACCTGATATCAGTGAGACGACAGAAAAAGAAACTAGTATACTGCATTTGTAAGTAAACTAACTAACAGGTATGCCACCATGTTTCTCTCATAAGATTAATATTAATAAATATATTCATTTTTCTCTAGGTTCCGTCAGCTACAGGCCAAACATGAAAGTCGGTTATCTGAGGTTCAGAGTGAGCTCAAAATTAAAATGTTTGATGCAGAGAGATCACAAATGGTCTATGCAGAGACAGTCAAGAATTTGGGTACTGCAGAAATGGAGATTGAAAAGCTGCAAAAGAAGATTGAGGTCTGTTTTCAGTGTTGTGTAATTGTGGAATCTCCTTAGTTATCAGTTATGTGTGCATAGTTTAGTCAGATTCAAGGTTTCTCAGTTGCAATTAAGTATGTAACGTATGGTGCAGTGAAATAAAATTTCTGTAAATAAAATGAAAAATTAAGAGCTCGGATACCTGGTAAGTTTGCTTCATCAGACAGAAATATTAATGCCAGTTAAAAAAAAAACAACAACTAAGTTGCATATCCTTTAGAGGATTTTGCAGAACCAACCCCAGCATTTATTGCCTGTTGTGGTTTTCTAGGTAAATTTTATGTTCAGTAGTTTGCCATTGCTACTGAACGGTCAGCTCTCGGTACCACTGTCGAAACCAGCGCAAGACAGATCGTCCGCAGTAGGGATCGAAGCCAGCACCCTGGCATTACGAAGCGCGTTCACAGCGCCTAAGCCTCAGAAGCCGACGCCAGCACGCGGCACAGAAACATCATGAGGGCTGTCTGGAATCAAGTGGATAGTGCAACACAGCAGAGTTTCTATAACTGGCAAAACTGGTTTAGAGGAGGATGAGGATCTGAATGATACTGTAAAGTCTGTAAAATCTGATGCGGGAGTGGCAGTCTTTGCCAAATAGAGTACACACAAAAATGTAGATACCCCCTCGCTATGAGACTAATTTTCTCTCCAGCCTGTCCTCTCTATAGCACGCTGCGTTTGGTTTCTTTCAGAATGAGACTTTTTGTCACCATAGTAGTCGATCTGCAACTGATTTTTCCCAAGTCTCTGTGCGTATGTTGGTATCTATCAGGTCATGTTTGCATACGTCTTTATAACGTAGCTTTGGCCTACCTGTAGGTCTGTTCCCTGTTTGCAGTTCACATACAGGAGGTCCTTTGCAATACAGCCATCCTTTATGCAAGAGACAAGTCCCAGCCAGCGCAGACATCTTTGCTTTAGTAGACAGTACATTAATGGTTTCTTTGCTCTTGTGAGTACACCAATTCTAAATGACATACAAAGACAGCAAATCAAATGGTTTGCCTACTTAGAGAGAATGTCTTGTGACGCCAAGCCTTACAAGGCATACACCAAAAGAGAAGAAGGACGTAGGGCACAAGGCAGACGGAGCAAAAGTTAGAATGTTAACATCAGAGAAACTCTACAACAGTAAGATGTGTCTGTGGCCGAGGCGACCAGAAGAGGAAGAAACAAGACCTTTTATCTTCCATGACACCCTGAGTGGTAAGTGAGAAAGTGAAGAAGTAGGTTTCCCCACCCTCATAAGGTTTTATTGATGTTATATTACATTTTCCAGATGCCGTCATGGTATTTAAGGGCCTTTAATTACTTTCCTTTAAAAAAAAACAATTCACAACTGTCTGCTGCTGTTTTTGTACAGTGATAAAGAGTGAGGCCAGACAAGAGCACTATGCAGGAAGCCAAAGAAGAATTATAAACTTAACACAGAAATGGTGTCTTCAGCCTTGGAGGGGAATTAAGCACTTATGGAATGATGTTTCAATGTGCAATAAGAATGATCTGTTGAATTAATAAATATTATGCAAGTTAATAAGGTATCTATGGACATGATCTTCAGCTAACATTTGCCTTTTGTTCTAGGTACTTACAAAAGAATACTATAGTCTTCAGACATCATTAGAGAAGAGAGTTGTTGAACTTGAAGCATCTCTGTCTGAGAAGAATACTAAATTGGAGGCGTACGAGAAACTGGAGCAAGATCTGGATTCAGTAATCATGCAGGCAGCAGAAGGTACGACAAGGCTGTATGTTATCTTCTTATTCTTCTTTGTGTTCACCGGCTGACAATGATCACACTGACAGTGATCACACTGACACACTGACAGTGATAACACTGACACACTGACAGTGATCACACTGACAGTGATCACACTGACACACCTACAGTGATCACACTGACACACTGACAGTGATCACACTGACAGTGATCACACTGACACACTGACAGTGATCACACTGACACACTGACAGTGATCACACTGACACACTGACAGTGATAACACTGACACACTGACAGTGATCACACTGACACACTGACAGTGATAACACTGACACACTGACAGTGATCACACTGACACACCTACAGTGATCACACTGACACACTGACAGTGATCACACTGACACACTGACAGTGATCACACTGACACACTGACAGTGATCACACTGACACACTGACAGTGATCACACTGACACACTGACAGTGATAACACTGACACACTGACAGTGATCACACTGACACACTGACAGTGATCACACTGACACACTGACAGTGATAACACTGACACACTGACAGTGATCACACTGACACACTGACAGTGATCACACTGACAGTGATCACACTGACACACTGACAGTGATAACACTGACACACTGACAGTGATCACACTGACAGTGATCACACTGACACACCTACAGTGATCACACTGACACACTGACAGTGATCACACTGACACACTGACAGTGATCACACTGACACACTGACAGTGATCACACTGACAGTGATCACACTGACACACTGACAGTGATCACACTGACACACTGACAGTGATAACACTGACACACTGACAGTGATCACACTGACACACTGACAGTGATCACACTGACACACTGACAGTGATAACACTGACACACTGACAGTGATCACACTGACACACTGACAGTGATCACACTGACAGTGATCACACTGACACACTGACAGTGATCACACTGACACACTGACAGTGATCACACTGACACACTGACAATGATCACACTGACACACTGACAGTGATCACACTGACACACTGACAATGATCACACTGACACACTGACAGTGATCACACTGACACACTGACAGTGATCACACTGACACACCTACAGTGATCACACTGACACACTGACAGTGATCACACTGACACACTGACAGTGATCACACTGACACACTGACAGTGATCACACTGACACACTGACAGTGATCACACTGACACACTGACAGTGATCACACTGACACACTGACAGTGATCACACTGACACACTGACAGTGGTCACACTGACACACTGACAGTGATCACACTGACACACTGACAGTGATTCATAGGCCACTTGCTAGGCATCTCCGGGCCACCATTGAAAAGCCCAGGTGTAGAGTATCAGCGGGATCACCTGGTCATTCCTGGCTGTACCATTCTGTCCAGACCTCAGTGATCTTTGTGGGATTCTGCATTAGTCAGTTGCTCCCAAAGGGTCTTGACCACGTCTGGCTTTTCGTGAATCAGTTTACCACCCATTAGTCAGTTGCTCCCAAAGGGTCTTGACCACGTCTGGCTTTTCGTGAATCAGTTTACCACCCATTAGTCAGTAAACAGCCAATCTGTCATCTGTCTGTTTCCTGACACTCCTGCATCCCCAGGAGGAGTGATCCAAAAGAAGGAGTGATCCAAAGGACCCTATCTACCTGGGTTGTTATGTTATCACAATCGATGTAACAGTACATTGGGTATTTCCATGTGTGCTCAGTCCTTTGATACAGCAACCATCCCAAGTTACCTTCTACTGATTGTTTCCTTGTGAAGTTGGTTATGACATTTCCTATTTTGACGCCAGAGATGAAATAGGTGTGTTTCGACAAACTTTGTTACCATGTACTCGTTATTATCCACCAGCCAAGTTAGTACAGTCACATTGTGTGTGAAAGTTACAATGTTTGATAGTTTTAGTGTTTTACAGTCAAATTGTGTGTGATAGTTTCAATGTTGGATAGTTTTAATGCTTCACAGTCACATTGTGTGTGAAAGTTACAATGTTTGATAGTTTTAGTGTTTCACAGTCACATTGTGTGTGAAAGTTATAATGTTTGATAGTTGTAATGCTTCACAGTCATATTGTGTGTGATAGTTACAATGTCTGATAGTTTTCAAGGTTTACAGCCACATTGTGTGTGATAGTTACAATGTTTGATAGTTTTTACGGTTCACAGTCACAGTGTGTATGAAAGTTACAATGTTTGATAGTTTTCATGGTTCACAGTCACATTGTGTGTCATAGTTACAATGTTTGATAGTTTCACAGCCACACTAATGCAGCCACATTGTTTGATAGCTAAAATGTTTCACAGTCAGATAATGTCACAGTCACAATGTTTTAATAGTTACAGCAGTTTACAGTCACCTTGATTTGACCACAAGTTAACAAATTCCCTTGTTACAGGCTTATTTATTATTTGTATGTAATAGTTTTATGGTCGTCGGCTCTGTGGCTAAGTCGATGCGAACGCTTCGTAATGGCGGGATGCCAGGTTTGATACCAGCTGCGGGCCATGCACCTTGCGTTGGTTTCGACAGTGGTATCAAGAAAGCTGACTGTCCAGAAAGCAGTGGCAAACTACTGGACATAATTTTGCCTAGAAAACCCACACAACAGCCAGACACTGTGGGGGTTGGTTCTGCAACGTCTTGTAAAGGATACACAACTAACCTTATTAATAGTTTCATGACTTTATTTAATAATTTTATATTCTGTTATCATTTGAAGTGGAGAATGAGAAGGATGCAGAAAAAGTGCTGTTTTCCTATGGCTACGGTGCTAATGTGGCCAGTACCACAAAGAGACGCATGCAGCAGAGGTTAGTTTACATTTATTTCTTTGTGTTAACCATCCTGTTTAACTGTTTTGCCTCACAAATTATTTTTATAAAAAAAGGGGGAGGGGAGGGAGGGGGCATGAACCCATGGGAATTCCTGAAAAATTCCTTTAAAAAAAATAAGAGTTAAAAAAAAAAATCCCATTTTACACATGTCACTAATACATAAATTTTGTATGTGCTCTTGGAATGGGATGGGGATTACACATAAGGATATAAAAAGGGAGTGAGTATGAATAAACAAATATGTATCTGGTGACTTATGCTGTGACCCAGTGACCTCTGTCACTGAGGCTTACGAGAAAATCCAATGTCAACATGGTTTTCAACAACCATTGGGTTCACAAGGAAACTCTAATAAATGCTATTTTCATTCATATCCTGGCCTCCTTAACACTGCCCATGTGCACATAGAGCCAGTAGAATTTAGCTATACTTTTTGAGAATAGATCACTCCAAAATGCCAGTATATCAGCATTTACAGGGACTGTATCACAAGCTGAAGTGACTAGATTTAGTCTTCTCAACAGTTTAGAGAATAAAATATGTCCTATTCTCTTGGTAACTTTCAGAGGTGCCTGTTGAGGTCCCAGTCAACTTCACAACTGCTGGCAGTGTTCATTATTATGTCTTGAACATGTTTCTTCTTCTGCTATGTTCACTCTTAAAAAGGTGGCTGGCACATTGTGTTGTGGTTTACAGCTAGGCTGTGATATCTGCACCCTTCGGCCCAACACATCAGATATCAGCACATCCTTAATTAGTTGTCTTTTACCGCATGCTTCTTAAAGAGTAGTGAGTCTGTTTCACCCCCACCCCTCCTCCAAAAGGTGCTCCCAAAACCTCCACAGATGAAATAAATATGAAACTGAAATAGAGAATGCAGGAGAGAAAGAGGAGGGGAAAGAATAGAAGAAAGAAGATGTAACTATTAGGAGTTTAATCAATCTTCATCACACCCAGAGGCACATAAGGCAGAGACAAACCTGAGACTCTGAGCTACCCTCTCCATCGCCAGCCCTGTCCCTTGGGCAGCCTTAAGCCCAGCCTCAAATGTTTGCCTCCAAGTGCCTCTGAACCTGCCTCTTCCTCGTCCCTGTGATGTCCATTGCACCGCCTTTCTCTGCCGTCTCTCCTTCTCCACTCCAGACGTGACAGTCACTGAATATGAATAAATGATCAGAATTAAAAAAATTTAAAAAATGTTTTTTTTTTTTTTTCAGTGTACACTTAGCTAGGAGAGTTCTGCAACTGGAAAAAACAAATACTAGTCTGCGGAAGGAGAACCAGGAGTACAAGAATAAAATCAACTCTTTAGTTAAGGAGGTATGTTTTGAAAGTATGCTTCTGTTCATATTGTTACATGCATTAACTCATCATTATCATATAGCAAAACAACTAATAACATTAACTCTTTCAGGCCCATGAATTTTGACAGACTTGGCCCACATTAATTTCCCTTTACAAAAATGGCAGAGGGGTGGGTGTACAAGAAAGGCTGTAGAGATTGTAATATACTTCTAATCCCTATAAAAGTATATATTTTTTAAAAGAGAAATAAATGTACTTTTTGAATCTGATGATAAGTGTTTGTTTAATTTTGTTATAGTTAGTGGAAAAGAAAAATTCAGCAGGTGTTAATTTCACAAGGACAACATTTCACAAAAAAATTCTTCACTTACCATGGTTTTACAGCCACAAGAATAGTAAATATCCAAATTTGAGAACAAAGTTTGTTCAATTTCCTAAAATATTCTAAAGTTATGATAACTTTCTGGGTTAGTTTATCACTCAGGGGCTCTTAGTTCCCACCGAGTGCTAAGACTTTAGCTGCGATGATTTCAATGTAGCATAGCCATAGTATAGTAGTATCCATTTGTTTAGAGCACTTTCCTTCTCTTACACCATAAATAAGGTAGTATGGGACATTGTCTGTGTAATAAACTCGTCAGAATCGCTAGATTCCGAACAGCTGATCGCTCAGCTTCACTGGTGAAAATTCACTGTCCGAATCACTTTCCGAAAAATCTAAATTTTTATTATCATTATCACAATTAAAAACATCTGACTGAAACAATTTCAGAGCTTCGGCCGCAGACCTGTTCTTGTGGTTAGAACATTCAGTGCTCTCAAAAACGAACTTAGAAAATGAACTGTTAAAAAAATTTGATGTTTTTTTTCTCTCAAATTGTCCACGTGTGGTTTAGTCCAAGAAATGAAACTAAAAAGATTTCGGCAGAGTGACTTTCGTACCTCCAAACATTAGAAACTAGTACGAACGCGCGTGCGAAGCAAAATGTAAGAGATACACAATTGACGATGACACCGTTGTTTGGGCAGAACGGAACTTCTCAACTACTTCTGAACTATGCTCACACCGTTGTTGGGCCTTAAAGAGTTAAATAACAGTTAAATGCAGTTAAACATAATTGCCTAAGGAAATGAATAAACATTAATGGAATCAATTTAAAAAAAGGTGGGGGGAAATAAGAGACATTTCTGAACAACTGCTGCTATCAGCAGTTATAAAGCAGAGAAGAATCCAATATACTGAGCATATCCTGCAAAAGGAGCAAACTGAATCACACTTCAATAGGAAACGAGTGTTGAGTAGGCGAGTCCAGCACCTTTTGCCTCTGTCAAAATTTGTTTTAGGGTTTTTTGAACATCCCTGTTTGCTCAATCCATTTGTTTCCCATTTCAGTGCCTGTTTGGTGGTTCTCTGCTTGCTTCTCCTCAGGATAGGCCCAATAGAGCTCCAACTTTTTTGTTCTTAAACTGTTGATACCAGTTCCTGTCCAGAAATGTTTCTTCACTTTTCTTGAATTTATCCCCGTTAATGGTCAATAGTTTTCTCAGGCCAAGGTAAATCGGTTTCTGAGACAAGAGGCTGTTTATGGTTTCAGTTTTCTTCAATTTTCACAATTTCCTGTGATATCAATATTTTTCATTTTCTTGACCTGTGTTTTCTAAAACAAAACAAAAAAGATTGTGTAAAAGACAAAAGACCTAGTTTTATTCTTTAATGTTTATGAAAACTATGATTTACATTCATATATTGCCACATGAACATTTCAGTTTCCAAAAATGTGCTCTTTAGTTTGGACCTATTATCAGAGAGTGGATTTCTCTTCATCAGTGCCTTTCATTTAGAAAGCCAAGGGCTCACTTTCCATTCTTCATATTATCATATAGGGTGTTCGTAAAGTCTTACTACACTTTGAACAAATGGAAAAAAGGAAGTACATGACATTATTTAAAAAAAATGGACTCCAATGTCAGCCCTGAAGCAGTATGCAATGAATGACTGTTGTCTGCTGGAGTAATTCTTTGCACACAAAACAGAATGGTGTTATCAACAAAAGAAAGAATTTTTTTTTGGTTGAGCCATTTAAGAACAAACAACAGACATGTAGTAGAAGGTATTTGAGAATATGAAGAGACCTGCACAGTCTTGTCTTCAAGACTGAGGTGGACATTTCCAACATTTGTTATAATGAATATTTCATTGATGCTTTCCAGCTTCTCCAAAGCAGCATTAGACCATAAGTGTGACTATTGTAACTAATTTAATTATATTTTTTTGAAACACAATTTTTGCTGATGTCATGACATTTGTTTTTCACATTTGCTCTGCCTACATAGTGTAGTGTAACTTGACTTACTGACTGGCTATCTACCCCACTAGGACATCACACAAGCGATAAACACACAATGACACAAAGTGCCACCATGTGGGTGAGGATCACCGTGGAGAGGTCCCAGAAACTGCGTTCAGACAATTGGCCATATTTATGGCCTGCCTATATTGCAGCCCCTGGCAAAAGCCAGGGTGTGGCTTCAGAGAACAAAAAATTTCATACTTAAAAAGGACGTAAGGATAGTAGTGTAACTTTACAAATACCTTGTATTATGGCTGAAGCGACAGACCCATGTTTGTAAGACTAAGTGATACTCATTTAGTGACATATTTAGCATCATGTTGAAGGCTGCCCTACATCCCTGAACATTATCTGGTACTTATAAAGGGGCTTCAGTTGAAAACCTTAGAAGTATGGTACAATCACAATAGCCATATAATTGTCTTATGACCTGTCAGTATTGTTGGTAATGATGTAAAGAGTGTTAAGCTCACTGCTCTTTGGTGCATATCAAAAGTGGGTCAAACATCTTAAAACTCATTATGATGTACTCAGTTCATAACACTCTTGACATCCTTAACAATATTGACAGGTTAAAGACAGTAACATGGTTTGACCCTACTACCAAGCGGTCATGAGAATTTATTTTTCAGCAATCTCTGATCTTGGGCCTAATCCACTTTGGGCCATAAACTGGGATGTCAACTCAAAGTTGTTAGGTTCCCAGTAGCTCAATTGTCAGGACTACTAGGTGTGACCACATGTTATTTTGCAGCTCCTTAAGGAAAGGGCAGTGTAGCAGGACATGTCCTGGGGTCTGTTCAGTACAAATAGCTGTTGGCCTCACACCTAATTTATATGAGTGTTTGTTGGTCATGAGAATTTGAAAAATATATCACCCTGAGAAGAATTTAACTCATTCACTGCCAAGCTACCCACTACATATTTGTTAGTTAACATTGACAACTTGTACCCTTTGTGATTCATCCACTTGTTACAGTAACCACATTTGTACCGACCGTTACTTTGACTCTTTCTGCTCAAAGCTAACAGCCGCCACCAGAAATGCAGTTTGTCGTTAGTGAAAGTAGTCGGGCACGATAAGTTGGCTACTGTACACATGTAGAATTATTACACAAAGTATTTCACCAGCTCACATGTAAACCGGCTACTGACCATATTGAATACCACGACACAACCGCTGCCTAAATTAAATGTCCATCCACTGTCACACTTTGGCTTTTTTCAGGTGGAGAAAACAAACGAATTGCTCAGTCAGTCCCAGCAACCCTACAGTTACCTCATTCAGTCAGTCAAGACCAGAGATCAGCAGCTTCAGCAGCAGTCAGCAGCCATGCTGGTTCTAGAGGAGGATTTAAGGTGAGCTGTCTGTTTAATTTGTGTGGGTCATTTTATGAGAAGAAGGAAACAAGAACATGTTGTGGGGCTTTATTATTATTCTACCCCAGATGACGCCACAGGACTGTCCAACATTTTACAGGGTGGAAAGACTGGGTTTTCCGGCTTTCTGATGCTTTTATTTACCCCAAAACATATAGAACTGGCCCTAACCCCAACTCTCCTACGTCCCACGAGAGAATGCAGCCTAGGTCCCATGACTGCCTGCAGCCTAGGCCCCACGACTGCATGCAGCCTATCTACCTCACTCTGAAATATTTGACTGTCCCGTTACCTGTAGATTTTCCCTGTTTGGGGTAGGATATTAATAAAGCACCCATGATGTGACCACTAGAAAGATCTGTGGAGGAAAGGGGGGGGGGGGGGGGGGAGAATAGACAGAGGAAGGCAAAAGAAGATTCTGGACAGCCTTTTATTATGGCATGCTGTTGAGTATTGCAGATTGTGGGGAAGCATGATCGGTCACTCCAGTTGGCAATGCACTTGATGATGAAGGTGATGTTTGTCTATGTTTATTCAATGGACCAACATCATGGCACACTGGTAGTAACCCATATGTGCTCCATTCTACTTCTAACTCAAGCCTGAATCTAAAGAATCTCAGCGCACTCTGTTGCACCGGCGAGGATCCTGAAATACTTTGGGTAGATTTTTAGCTTCAAATTTTGCCTGGGGAGCGCCGTTATACTACTCTATTTGATTTTCAACTGTTAATGGATTTTTTACGTGTACAGCAATACACACGGGCATCTGATCTTACCACCCAGAGACCAGGGGAAATTACAAGAAGTTCATGTGAAAAAAATCCCGCTTTGAACCCTGGACTTCCAGCACTTGAGGCGGACACTATACCTCGAAACCACTCAGCTGCAACTATGTGATGATTGCTTCTGGATTTAAAATAGATGAAAGCATTCCTCAAGAAGTTGAGGTGGTACAGTGATTAGGGCTTACCAACACAAGTTTAATCTTCCAGTAGCAGCAGAATATTCTTTGTAAACCAGTGAAGCCCTACTCAAGGTGTGGAAAAGGGTCCTTTATTCTTTACTCTTACTTTTCATTTCATACTAAGGCACACCTCTGACTTACCCGGGTAATGTTTGCATTCTTTTCAGTTCATTGTAATGGCAACCACATCATTTTTTTTTTTTTAATCTTGCAGAAAACTGGAGAAAGAAAAATTAGAAATGGCCAGAGCCCACAATCAGATGAGCTTGGATTTGGAAAGATTGCTGAATCAGAAGGAGGTACAATTTTTCAAGTTTTGATGTCAGAAGTAAAAAGTTTGCAACCTTATATTGTTGCTGATTTTTTTTCTTCAACAATTGACCTCGGTTCTCAGGCCGACCTAGCCTAAAATAGATGCCACGTAATTGGCTGGATAGTAATTGTATCACCCATTAAATCCAGTGGAGAACAATGTTTGGTTTGAGTACAGATGAGAGCTGTGTTTGGTTTGAGTACAGTTGAGAGCTGTGTTTGGTTTGTATCCAGTTGAGAACAGTGTTTGGTTTGAGTACAGTTGAGAGCTGTGTTTGATTTGAGTACAGTTGAGAGCTGTGTTTGGTTTGTATCCAGTTGAGAACAATGTTTGGTTTGAGTACAGTTGAGAGCTGTGTTTGGTTTGAGTACAGTTGAGAGCTGTGTTTGATTTGAGTACAGTTGAGAGCTGTGTTTGGTTTGAGCCCCAGCCTCAAATGGGTACCAGGATGGGAAAGTAAAGATGGCCGGCATAATGCTGACCACATTACCCACCGAGTGCCGATTGGTCTGTAAAAATATGGGTGCTCTTCCCATATGCCCGATGCGCTTAAAGGCGTGTAAAGGAATCTTTACTTTTTTTACTTTTACAGTTGAGAGCTGTGTTGGTTTGAGTACAGTTGAGAGCTGTGTTTGGTTTGAGTACAGTTGAGAGCTGTGTTTGGTTTGAGTACAGTTGAGAGCTGTGTTTGGTTTTAGAACAGTTGAGAACTGTGTTTAGTTTGAATCCGGTTAAGAACAAAGTTTTGTTTGAATCCAGTTGAGAACAGTGTTTGGTTTGAGTACAGTTAAGAACATTGTTTCATTTTAATCTATTTGAGAACAGTGTTTAGTTTGACCCAGTTGAGAGGGTTTTTAAATTTGAATCCAGTTGAGAACATTGTTTCATTTAAATCCAGTTGAGAACAGTGTTTGGTTTGTATCCATTGGAGAACAGTGTTTGGTTTGTATCTGATTGAGAACAATTTTTGGTTTGTATCCAGTGGAGAACAATATTGGTTTGTATCCAGTGGAGAACAGTGTTTGGTTTGTATCTGGTTGAGAACAATTTTTGGTTTGTATCCAGTTGAGAACAGTGTTTGGTCTGTATCCAGTTGAGAACAATTTTTGGTTTGTATCGAGTGGAGAACAGTGTTTGGTTTGTATCCGGTTGAGAACAATGTTTGGTTTGTATCCATTGGAGAACAGAGTTTGGTTTGTATCCGGTTGAGAACAGTGTTTGGTTTGTATCCATTGGGGAACAGTGTTTGGTTTGTATCCAGTTGAGAACAGTGTTTGGTTTGTATCCAGTTGAGAATAGTGTTTGGTTTGTATCAAGTTGAGAACAGTGTTTGGTTTGTATCCAGTTGAGAACAGTGTTTGGTTTGTATCCAGTTGAGAACAGTGTTTGGTTTGTATCCAGTGGAGAACAGTTTTTGGTTTGTATCCATTGTAGAACAGTTTGGTTTGTATCCAGTTGAGAACAGTGTTTGGTTTGTAGCCAGTTGAGAACAGTGTTTGGTTTGTATCCAGTGGAGAACAGTGTTTGGTTTGTAGCCATTTGAGAACAGTGTTTGGTTTGTATCCATTGGGGAACAGTGTTTGGTTTGTATCCAGTTGAGAACAGTGTTTGGTTTGTATCCAGTTGAGAACAGTGTTTGGTTTGTATCCAGTTGAGAACAGTGTTTGGTTTGTATCCAGTTGAGAACAGTGTTTGGTTTGTATCCAGTGGAGAACAGTGTTTGGTTTGTATCCAGTGGAGAACAGTTTTTGGTTTGTATCCATTGTAGAACAGTGTTTGGTTTGTATCCAGTGGATAACAGTGTGCACAAACAAAAAAAGGGTCATGAATTCTTGGGAATCACCACGACCTCCCCTCCCCCGCCACACATAAAAAAAAAATCTTTAAAAATCAGCTTTTGCAAGTGCAATTAATAAATAACAAATAATAATCTAAGTCTTTTTTTTTCTTTATGTTATTATTTTAATTCCTTTAAACCCAAATAGTGGCTGATTTAAAGTTAAGTTCCCTGAATGGAATGAGCTAAAGTAATTACTGGTTAGTACTGAAAGAGTTTGAAGTAAAAAGATCCCTTTTCATGACTTTAGGCGCATTGGGCATATGGGAAGAGCATCCATATTTTTTACAGATCAATCGGCACTAGGTGGGTAATGTGGTCAGCATTACGCTGGCTGTCTTTACTTCTCAAGGACAGCCATCTTGGTACCCAGTTTAGACTGGGTCGACATGCGACGCCCCATACCATGATAAAAATCCATGCAGCCAGCATTGGGTTTCAATCGCGGTACGTTGGAATTACGAGTCGGACTCGCAATGTCTAAGCCACGGACGCTGCACTGAAAGAGTTTAATGGATACTAAAATAAATATGGAACCTTGAAATGGGTATACTATCTGGTATTTAAAACCTGCAAGTGGAGAGGTTCAACAAATATTTAAAACCTTCTAGTGGAGTGGTTATGACTCTTGACTTTTAATTCTCATCCTATAGGAGATGGCTGTGATGAAGCAGGTCATGTTGAGCCTATCAGAGCGGAAGTTTGATGATGATAAGGTCAAAGCCAGGGACTTCCATCCCTCCAAAAGTGTATCTTCTATGGGTCAGAGGTTTCCCCATGACTTTGAATTACATAATGACCCCGGAGTGACTAAGCCTGGAGCCTTACACTTGGTACTTAAAAAAAAAATAATTTCATCATCATCATGTTGAACCATCATATGATTTTGTAGGGCCCACAGTCTGTTTCTTTATTCCATTCTACCCTGTGCTGGTATCCTTTTGATATCGTGGACAGAATCTGGCCCAGCACCTTTGGCCTCTCTCATCAGCATTTGTTTTAGGGTTTCTCTTAAATGTCCTTGTTTCTACGGTCTATTTGTTTCCCAGTTCAGTGGCTGTTTAGTGATTCTCTGCTCGCTTCTGCTCAGGATGGGCCCAGTATAGCTCCATCTACTTTGTCTTATAACTATTAATACTAATCGTTATCCAAACATAAATCTTAATTTTTCACTTTTCTTGAATTCATCCAATTTAATGTTTGTTCATCAGTTTTCTCCGGCATTTCTTTTCAAATACAATTAACTTTGATTCCACGTCTTTAGCTTTACTGGCTTATGTTAACACTTAAATTATTTAGAACTGAAAATATGTATTTTGGTTTTAAACCTATATAGTTTTGAGTTCCATACTTTTTTTAAAATTCAGTTGTTTATCTTCTTCTGCTCTTTAACTCGAAACAATTGTCCCACATCCAGCAAGAAGAGGTCATAATGGCCCAGCCTGGTTAGTTTAGCATCTGAGTTCACAGCTGTTCTTAAAATCCCAGCTGCTTAAGTATTTCTTATATGCAAACTGATAAACTCTTGCTGCTACCTCTACAGTGTCTCACAGGATACCCCTCTTGTGTTAGACTAGAGTCCAGGTCATTTTGTCAGGTCACTTTCACTGTGCTGATACTGATCCTGGATTTTTTAGTGACCATGCTAGCCTAGTGGCTAGTCAGTTGCTTGCAGACCTGAAGGTCTGGGGTTCAGATCCACATAAAAGCTAAATTTACTTTGGCTCCCTGGTCAAGGTTAAACCAGCTTTCCCCCCTCTTTCCCAAGCCATTACTGCATATATTAACCAATCGTGTGGTGGAAGGTGGGGGGGGGGGGGGTGTTTGTTTGAGCCTGAGGAGTTAGGGCGACATTGCTAGTGCAGTCGCCAAAGACTGCAAGTTAGGATTAATTTTTTGGGGGTTCTCGGACAGAAAAAATCCACATCCTTACTGAGGATTTGTACCTGGGTCTCCCACATAAGAGACCAGCATTCTTAACCCAACTTAGAATGGGTACTAGGTAATGCCCTGGAAAGCAAAGGTCTAGCACTGTGTGCATGAATCCATGATAAAGATCCTTTAGTAACAGTTGTCTAGAGTAGGCATATCAACTTCATGTGGGTTCTAGGGGCCTCATCGCGGTGGAAGGGCGGCGGGGTGGGAAAGACCCACTGCCCCCAACAAGCAAGTTGTAAAAGTCAATTACTTAGGGCATCTGTCTGAGAGGCAAGGAACTAATCATATGTATACAAATAAGTCAGATCTATAAAAGAAATGTGCATGCACAATTTAAGTTCTGGAGCAAGAATAAGTTCAGAAATCAGAAGTGGACGAAAAACCAGAACTTTCTACCAGAGTTTACAGCTGGTAAGTGTGAAGAAGAAGAGAATTGATTGCCTACATAAGAAAGAGACAAATCTACATTCTTTGTTCATGTGATGAGAAGGAGAAAACTGATTGCCCACATCACTTGAGTTCATAAAGGACTGCATATGACCTGCAGGTTACAGCTTTAAAATGCCTGGTCTACGGCATAAACAATAAAAAAAATATAACTAGAGACATTTTGTTAATACAGTGGAACAGGCTGAGTTAATTTCTGTTGTTTTGTTGTTGCTTGCAGTCTAAACAAAGATCACCAAACAGGTCAAGGCAAGAGAAGAAAGGTCAGCAGGGGTCCAGGTTTTCCAAAGTATATGGGGTGGCCAAATCCTGAGGCTCAGTGCTAGAGTCAGCCATCAGGGTTTTTCAAGTGCTTGCACAAAGTTTAGCAAGTGCCCAGAGATGTTAACAAATGATATACAAGGAATTACAAAGTCGCATGTCACGAAGTCGCAAGTCATATCAGTTTACATCAAGTCACTTGTACAGGTTCAATTAGCAAGGCGTAGATTTTTGACAATTATTATTATAACATTTTTCAGATGTAAAATAGATGATATTATATAAATTATATGAGTGTTAGGAATATTTTGTGAATTGAATAAATGTGGGTATTTTAATGATTTTTTTTATGGTACACATAGAGTGCTCTGTGCTATTTCTTTGCTAAAAAAAATTAATTGAAGTGTCAGTAATCTTATGTTACCTACATAAAAGAAGAAAATTAACACTTTTGTGATGTTTCATAGCTAGACAATAGTACCAGGAAATTCAAGTGATGTTTCAAAGCTAGTAAAACAATAAAAGAATTTTGAAATCTCAGTGTGTGTGTAAGAGTCATGAATGGTCAGCTTTGTAAAACTGCCATTGCGTATTTTATGCATATATCTTTATGTATGATAATTAAAGTGTCATTTATGGCTTTTGTATTAAACTATTCAGGTATTCTTGTTGGCTTTCTAAGTGTTTAACATTGAACTCAGCAATCAACTTTGACAGGTTGTGCCAGGTTTCTCTTATAACAACAGTTTTTTCTTCAGTTAAAAAAGGAATGTATCACAGAACCTGCATTGTTTCAGGTTTCTCTTATAACAACAGTTTTTTTCTTCAGTTAAGGAAGGGATGTGTCACAGAACCTGCATTGTTCCAGGTTTCTCTTATAACAACAGTTTTTTTCTTCAGTTAAGGAAGGGATGTGTCACAGAACCTGCATTGTTCCAGGTTTCTCTTATAACAACAGTTTGTTTCTTCAGTTAAGGAAGGGATGTGTCACAGAACCTGCATTGTTTCAGGTTTCTCTTATAACAACAGTTTTTTTCTTCAGTTAAGGAAGGGATGTGTCACAGAACCTGCATTGTTCCAGGTTTCTCTTATAACAACAGTTTTTTTCTTCAGTTAAGGAAGGGATGTCGCAAAACCTGCATTAATGAGAAAATCTTCTTTTTCTCTAGTCCTGTTCTGCTTTTTGGTATCAGGTTTAATGAAGTATTAGGCACGAGCCTTTTATTTGCTACATAGATACTGGTTTCAGATGGAGCGAAGTCATCAGAAGCAACCTAAAAGAAATGAAGAACAACTTGTACAATGCATTTGAAAAAGCGCACAAACAATTCTTACATCTCCCCCCAACACTTTGCTGAGGTAAAGTGGTGGAAGAGAAGAAGAACCATTGTGTCTGAGAAAATGGTCAACGAGCGCTCTGGTGTAGTAGCGGTCTACAAAAATGATATATCCAGTTCTGAGTGGCCTTAGCAGACTGTCGAAGACCTGTATGGAGTGGCTGCTTTAATTCTCATTGGTTGGATTGTAGGATGTTTCTCTTCCATAGTATGTCAGCATATTGACAACATAACAGGTTTTACTGCCTACCAAACCAAAGCTTTTGATGTGGTATGTGGAAGGCTTGATGGCATCGTTTTGCTTATACTTATATTTTCTTTTGAATCCCACAACATTTCATCAGTGGCAATATCTTGGTAGGCAGTGAAAGCCAGTTGAAACTTTTCAAGGAGTTTGTTGATGAAGGGCTCAATTTTCAGTATTCTATCTGCATCAGGCTCTCCCACATGACACATTGTTTGAAATTTGCTGAGAAATCTGTTCTGACTGAAGGTCTGTACATAAAAACTGGTGCTGAAAACATTTCATGTTGAGAAATAATCATGTATACTAGGGCTTTTGCAGATTCCCATTGCAGTCTACACTGCACTCAATTTGAACAGTTCATATATTCCAAGATTAGTCCAGCTGGCAAAGACATAACTTTTGCGAGGAGGATTGCTGTGTGGTTACTCAAGGTGGCATACGTATTTGTTGCAGTTAACAGAGAAGTCTGTACTTCCTTATCAAACAGTGCCAGAAAGCAATCAAGAGGATTTGAACTTTCAGATAACAATTGAGGGTTTGCCCTTGAAGTTGTTTTGGGACCAAAACGAAGAATGTTCAAGGTCATGGAAAAAGATCCATGCTAGACTCTTTCCTATCCTTCACCAGAATTGGTATTTCTATTTGTTTCGAGTACTTTCCTTCTCTGGCACCCTAAATACTGAACCAGTGGAACATTCCCTGTGTCACAATCATTAGAACTGTTGGATTCCCTAACAGCTGCCGCCCATTTGCTGTGAATTGAATTTGGGACCGTGACTGATAACCTAATAATCTTAAGTCTTTAACCAGGATTATATTGGCATCAACCAGACATTAAAGTTCTCCACTAAGCCAGAAATACCAGAAGCTACTTATACAGAAACTTTATTTCTTCTAGGACCTTCTAATTTTCTTCTCTGTTTATAGGTTTTTAGGTCTCCCTCTATTCTTCTGCCCTGTGGGCTCCAGAAAGATACCCTAGTTATATTCTTAGCAAGCTTTCTGTGTGAGTCTTACCCAGCACCAGTAGTTTATTCTTAACATTTGAACCACTTGAATACGTTTAGATTTCTCCATAAGCTTTGCTTTAGTGATTCAGTTGCACAGTTGAATTCCTTATTTTAAAGTTTCATCTTTTTCTTCTTCTGCATTCATCCTTACAAGGGTGTTTGAAACTTTGTGTTGTGGTTTACAGCTAGGCAGCAACATCTTTACCTTATAGCCCAACATATACAATACAGTTTCAGCAAACCCCCGGTTAATCACATTTTACAACAGGCTTGTGGGTCTTTCCCTTTAAAAAAAAAATCCCTAAATGGGACCTTGAAACCCACATGGGGATGTCACAGAATTCCTTCTATTCTAAGAATATTTGTAGTTTATTAGTTTTAGTCATTCTGCGTGTTTCTGCTTCATACATTTGACATTATAGATCAATATTGTAAATTGCTACAGTGGTTAACTTCTTTTAACATCCACAGTTTTCCTAGTGGGATGAAAGCTTCTCTTGCCAGGTATTGTTGAGGATTCACTCACATTACTGCTAAAAAGTTTTCCTAGTGGGATGAAAGCTTCTATTGCCAGGTATTGTTGAGGATTCACTCACATTACTGCTAAAAAGTTTTCCTAGTGGGATGAAAGCTTCTATTGCCAGGTATTGTTGAGGATTCACCCACATTACCGCTAGAAAGTTACCATGCCTCTGTGATGTGTATTGTGATATTATATTTACTCTGTGTATACAAATGATGCTTAATTATATGTACATTGTTTTCAATGTATGATACATTAAAAAGCATTGAACAGGGTAGAGTGAAATGGAGGAAAAGACTGTATGCCCTACGTGACATAAAGTGTCAAAACAGGATGACAGTGATGCATCAGTAAGGCTTACAAAATCTCAATGAAATGAGAAATACATGACTGGCTGCTTATAGTAGAGATTAGATTTTGTTATAATGTGATGGGATGTTTAGTTCTTCCATGAAGTGAATTATTTGTGGTAGAGTATTGAATCATCAACATTTACCTTCATTAATTAAAGAAATTGACTACAGTGATTTGTACTCTGTCAAATAAAGTTAATTTATTACATAAGCGACTTACAAGTTTAACTAATTTGAGTAATTGGCTAATGTCATATTGGCAGGTTAAAAAACTTGTATTTTGACCTGATTATGTTAACGCGCTGTTTTTCAAGCGCCTATACTCTCATCTGATTTTTGGGTAATTAAACTAATAATTGAATCATCAACTAAGAAACTTAGAATACTGACTATTCCTGGGAACTCTCCACAAAATCTATGGGGTCCCCAAGAAATAAAAGAAAAGAACATAAACTTATATTTTAATCGGACTCGGTTAACTCACTGAATATCATATGTGTCATCTATTGTGGGTAGTTGACGCGTGGTAGAATTTTTGACTAAGAAACCTGTATTTCAGACAGATGCACAGCTTCAACAGCCACTATGATAATCCTGTGACTACAGAAGTTTACCATATAATGGAATAAGATAATGCATTTCAACTTCAGCCTGTCATTACAGTTAGCTAAAGTTATTAACTCTTTCAGCACACACCAACTTGCTGTCTCTTGACTAGTTAGTCTTAACTTCTTATTCCTCATCTAACTGGTAAATTACCAGTTTTATTCCAGTGTGTATTTTAACTCAGCATAAGACCCTCCTGTCTACACTGACCTAGAAAGCAGTAAATAAAAACAGCAGTAACAGATTTTTCAGTTAGTTTACTAATAATACCATAGCGGACAAAATGTCTTAAATATTTTATTCTAGTGAAAGTTTTTGCTTTTTTACTGTGTTCTGTTTGAAGTTTGCACGGATATAAGTAATGCAGAATTGGCAGCTGAAATGAAACTTTCAATAGAAAAGATTTGTACTTTGCATTATTTATACAAATGAAAACATTAGAACAACTAAGTGTTCTTGCAATGTTCTTAAATAAAATTCCAAATTTTTGACACCGACAAAAAAATATCTCATCATTTCAGTAAACATACTTGGTCAGTTAAATAACCCAAAAGGCATTCTTTACCACTCTTTCAAACTAGGTGGTAAGTGAAATGCTGTGAGGTGTTTTTATAATGGGGTTTACCAAAAAGCTTTTAGGTCTTACAATTATTTAGAAAAGTATTGGGATTACTGCAGAATGTCAGTTATGTCATTTACACTAGGTGTTGATTCTAAACTCTAAGTGCACTAAGACATTATTAGGGCATCATCTTATGGCTTTACCTTTTGTATATGAGAAAAGCATCCCATATTTCTACAGACCAATTGGCATTAGGTTGGTAATGTCATCATTACGTCAGCCATCTTTACTTCCCCCAGGACAGCCATCCTGGTACTCATTTTAGGCTGGGTTGACCTGCGACGCCCCATACCATGATAAAAATTCATGCAACCAGCAGTTAGTTTTGATCGCAATAGGTTGGAATTTCGAGGC